CAGGGTGATGAGAATTCTGGGAAGAAGAAAGAGTCAGTCTGCAGTTGTCACCCAGACAAAGAGCAAGCAAGATGTGACTGCCTCTCCAAAAAAGGTACCAAGCCATGTGGCTAACACAGACAAGAATTATGGGCTAATATAAATTATAAGAGTTAATAAGAAGTCTGAGCTAATAGGCCTACCAATTTATGATTAATGTAGACCTCTGTGTATTTCTTTGGGACTGAAGGACTGTGGGACCTGGTGGGACAGAAAACTCGGTCAATAAACACCTAGTCCTTCTAATCCTATCAGAGAGTTCCATCTCCTGGTGACTAAGCATTCAAAGATATGACCCTATGGAGGCCATCCTTATTTAAACCACTACAGCAAGTTAGGGACTGTTTAAGATGCCTTAGTGGTTAAGGGTGCCTGTCGCTAAATTGGTGACCTGAATTCCATCTCTAGGACTCATCTTGAGGGAGGAAAGAACCAACTTTTGAAAGTTGCCGTTGACCTCAGTTGGTGACGTGCATGCATGCATACAAGGGTGTTGTGACACATGACTTTAATCCCAACACTTAGGAGGCAGAGGCAGAATGATCTCTGAGAGTTTGAGACCAGCCTGGTCTACGTATTGAGTTCCAGGACAGCTGTAGCTATATAATAGATAGAACTTGTCTCAAAAACAAAATAAATAACAGCAACAACACCCCTCCCCTCCCCCCCAAAAAGGCTACTTTTGTTTTTTTAAATCATTTCCAGACTGGCGAGACAGCACAGAGAATGAAGGTAAATAATTTGTTGTGCAAACTTCACAACCTGAGTTTGACCCCTGGATCCCAACAGTGGAAGGAGCGGCCTGGCTTCTGGAAGCTGTTCTCTGTTCTCCACTGCATGCCACATCATATACACACTCACAGACACACGTGTTACACACATACGCACATCTCGAAATCAGGCATGTGACAAGAACAGCAGATAGCTTATTCTTAAGGCATTAATGAAAGGGCCATCGGTTTGGTCACATAGCCCCTTCTCAGGACACACACACACACACACACATACACACACACAAACACATAAAGGTAAAAATAACTCCCATGAGCTGACATGGCACAATTAAATGGGCTGACATCTCTCTGACAAAGTTGACTAGTTGGGTCAACTGCCGCCACAGACATCAAAATGAAAAAGGACTAGATCGCAGTGAGGAACTCTGCAGCAAGACAGGAAAGAATGTCTTTTCTCGCTGCCTGGCTGGCTTGCCAAACACGTGACCAGCGGACGGTGACATGGGTCAGCTGTGCCCAGTTTCTTGGCCTCTTGTTGAAAGGGTTGATACAAAGGCAGAGTTTCAGCAAGGTGACTTCATTCAAAGCAAGGTGACAGTTCAGGTCAGATCCACAGTCGAGACTGATTGCAGGTCACATGAGTGAGGACACCCAGGACCTGATTTTTGTTTTTGGCAAAGTTTAATGGTTAAGAGAAGGAGTTCAATGACTAGGGGCAGAGTCTGGGTGTTTCGACTGGCAGGTTTGGATGATGTAATCCCTTGCTCAGTGTTCATGTTCCTTCCTATGATGCATGATTTTAGTCATATGCATGCCCGATTATGCACAGGCATGAGATGATAAATGGGGGATTCTCCCTAAAATCTCCCTTAGAGGACACAGTTTGCCTTGCAGTATGTGTACTCCAAACAAGTTTATGCCAGACTAGCCCTCCTATCCTCACCCCTCCATGTATTATGGATATGTCTGAGTGAAGGCCATCTAAATGTCAAGGCCATTAAGGGGAATATAGTCTATTACTCAGAGAAGAATGTATACACAGCTCAACGCAGATGAACATTCAGGTGGCTAGGCCCACTGTTCAGGGAAGAGTGTGTGCCCATGGCACATACAGATGAGGGTCCTAGGTTTCCGAGTGTCTTGTTAGAACAGGGTATACAGTGCCCTAGTGGAGCGGAGTCAGGCTATTCCCTATGCTTGCTTGCCTCACCAGGTCCTGGCCACACCTCTTCCTTCCACTTCCTGGCTGCCAGGAGGGAAATAGCTGCTTCCCCCAGGCAATCCCACCAAGGCTGCAGCGCTTTCCAAAGGCTCCAAAGTTGCAGGACTAATCAAATATGGGATGAAATCTCCTACTAGAAACCAAAATAAACTTTCCCTCCTTTTAAGTTGGTTATCTCCGATACTTTGTTACCATGCTGGAAAACTAGCTAATAGAGACCAAGATCAACATGGCGCCTGTATAAAGGTGGAGACTTTAGATAGTTGATGGTGATAGAAGGTACTTTCAGACGCTAGCACAGCTGTGAAACATTAGGGGCTGATCAATGAATTTTAAAGAATTATAAAGATAAACTTAGTAGTAGCCTTGAATCTATGAGAAAAAATATGATTGTTAAGGTAATTATTCTCAGTCATCAATGAGGCTCATTCAACCTGCAGCCAATTAACGAGGCCCCTCCGCTTGTGAAGTCCTATAACCAGGCTCCTTCTTTGTGAGGCCTGGAACCCTGTGGCTGTAGGCAACAGCATCCTTGGTGCTATGCACAGCCTATTGCTTCATGCATCTCCCTTAGGGATCTTAGAGATTTTCAAGGGCTGGTCATGTTTCTGATTGCATGCTAGACATGTACACAGGGTGCTTTTGTGAAGCCCCAAGTATAATTAGGGTTTACAGTGGCCAGGCTACCATGTCCACCCTTACCAGGATGCAGAATGAGGAAGGTGTGGCTGAAGTCCTGCCCAGTGCCAGATTCAAGTCCCTGGCTGCCACATCTCTGAGAAGTCTAGATTTAAAGAGGTGAATGAAGATGAACTTGAAGACGTGGTGGTTGGGAAATAGCTCTTCCGATTGACTGTGACGTCAAACAGATCCTCAGTGCTGGGCCCTGCATTCTGGAGACTTCTAGAGTCTTGCCTCTTTAATAATGCTCACCAACAAAACGTACTCCTTATCCAGAATAAATAAGTACAGTTCAAGAAGTTAATTATGGGGCGGAAGGTACAGCATTGGCCAGGCATGGTTGTGTTACTGGGAATTCCTATCTTAAATAATAACAGTAGGAAATGGAGCATTGTGGGTATATAGGATCAAAATACATTGTATGATATCCTAAAACATTAACACAAGGAAGACAATATAAAGCTAAATTTAGCAACGTAATAGTTGTGTTAGCTAAGTTAGAATTTACTCTGGTGCTGTCTACCATCAACAGCAATTTTCTGGTGGGGTGTATCTCAGTGATAGAAGACTTAACCTAACATATGAAAAGCCTTAGGTGTGTTCCCTGCTCTGAAAACTTTTCAAAAGCCAGTGTGCTTTTCCTTATACCATGTACCTGTGGTAAATATGAAATTGTACAAACGCACACACTAATTTATAACATGGATGTAGATGAGCGTGAACACTAGATATTTGTAAGTAGTTTGATGGTTTGTAAGTTGTTTGGTTTTCTGGCCTTTGCTCGTGGCGCTGGTAAGACAAACAGAATATCTCATTAGCTTTTGTCTCCGGAGCTGAGCAGGGGAATGACTGAAAGTAACTGACAGCGACAATGGTGGCGAATGGCCGAGACACTGTTCAGAAGAGACTAGAGTGGTGTGGGATCTGACACAGGCTTCTCATTGCACAGAGTTAAAGAAATGCTTACAGGCCCTGACAGAGTCCAGCAGCAGAAAGAGCTGCAGGGTCAGCAAGCTGTTACATTGCTGGGTTGCACTGTATGTTATAGTCAACTGTCCCTTGTCTTTAAATATAAGGAGGATTTGCATAAACTCCACCTACACGAAGCCGCAGGGTGCCAGTAAACGTAGGGTTTACAAAGGATAGAAAAATAAAAAAGAAAAAAGTCAACTGTCCTTTTTAAAGGAGAAAAGAACAAAGTGCTCACCCAGTGTTTCGGATAGCAGGTACCAGGCTGGGTTGCATTTAAAGGTCTCTTTCATCTCTGTTACGCTGCAAAACCTGCCACTACAAGAGTCTGCAAAGAAAACCCCTGAAATGTGTTCTCACTCACAAGAGCAGGAAAGAAAATTAGGTTAACACGACCAGAGAGGCAGAGGATTGGGGCCTCAGGAGCAAGCCCCTAAGTGACAGTCCTACTGGTCTGCAGAGCGGTGAGGCAGTATAAACTTTTCTTCAGGGTAGGCAGTAGGACTCCTGTGCTGTGCACGCCCACGCAGGCATCCTGTTGTGGACACAGGGCCGTGTCTATGTTAAAGCTGACTGACTTGATCAGAACCTCGGTAGTGTGGGAGTTGGATGGTGCAGAGCCAGAGCCAAACTATCTTGAGCTATCTTTAGTTTCCATCATAGCCATCCATTGCCCATTTGACCAGGCAATACTTTCTGGAGTGTGTAAACTTAGAACCGTAGCTTCCACCAACCCCAAAGCTAAGAATGCCATCAGATAGGATCTGAAACTTACAGCACAGACTTCCCAACTGTGTTATACAGACAGTCCCTGGTGACGTTTTCATCAGTGCATTGGAAAATGCCTTGATTTATACTTTCCTTTTCTTCTGCAACCACAAAAATGTCATGAATCAATCTCCATGCTAGAACACACTATTTGGGGTAACCTGGATCTTTGTTCCTGGACCATGGGCCCTCACCTATGGCTCAAAAATAAATCCCAAGTTTTTTTGGGGTCCTATATAGGCTTTCAGTCTTGTGGTCCTGCATCTTGCACCCTGTACCCCACCACCCTGGCATGCCAGAAACCCTGTGCCTTCCATCCCCTGAACTCTGTGATCCTCTGAAGCACCCGAGGTCGCAGATTTAGTCGTGATTTCCTTGAAAGGAAAGTTGCGCCTCACAGTCCCGGGCAAGCAACTTCTCTCAGGCTTCAGAAAGAACAAGAGAATTTTCAAAGGAAGTTCCGCCTTCCGGTCTGACTGCTTCCTGCTTGGTAACTAAGGGCGCCTGGCTGTTGCTAGGGCCGCGGAGTACAAACCGGCAGGCTTTGCAGACTCAGGCTGCGTGCTCCAGGGAGGGTTTTTTTGGGAGTCTGTCTGAGCTGTCTTTGAGATCGTGCATCATGAGTAGCGAGTTCCTATCAGAGCTGCCCTGGGAAGATGGGTTCGCCATCCCCGTGGCCAACCAGGAGAACAAGATGCTGGAGGATCAGGTGAGGAGGACCGGGTGGAAGTTAGGGGATAGACAGGAGAGGACCAGCTGAGCAACGGAGATGGGGTGTGAGGTGGAGTGATGAGGGTGGGGACTGGTTGAGAACCGCCAGGATAGCCAGATGAGCACCAGTGGGAGGATGGAGGACTAGGTGAGGACCGACTAGGTTGCAGGTCCGGTGGGTATCCAGTGGGAATTAGGAGAGCGCCCGAAACGACCCCCGGGGTCTGGGTGCCATGCTGCCCAACTCTTCTGTGCCTCCCGTGCCCTGGTCTCATCCCGTAAGTCTGATGTCTACCCTCCCCACTTTCCCTACTGCTCCTATCAGTTGCTACACATTTGAAAGTTTTATCAAAGCAATGATTTCTATTCAGGGTCGTGAAACCTGAACTCTCACTCCTCCAGCTCTTTCAGATGCCAGCTAGTAGCCTTCCCCCATCCAACTAAGGGCTGCAAGTGGGTTGTTGGTGTTTGCCTAGTAACCGCTGTTTACGCATGTGTGCACACAAGACACATTCTCGTGGGCATTAGCTTGCCTGTGATGCTTAAAGGGACTTGGGTGCCTTTCAAGGGGGAGCATTTCGGTGAAATATGCAGTGTAGGAAGTTTCAAAGAGAGGATCAAGGTGTCACAGGAGGACAGAGTATTCACACTGTGGGAAGAACTTGCACCAACTACAATACATACAGTTTCAGCCTCCTGTTAGAAACAAGAAACAAAACAAAAACACGAACTGCAAACGACTCCACAAAGTTGGCCCATCTTTAGCAGCCAGCATAAGCCCCACAAACTGGCCTTAGGGTGTGGGGAAGAGGGCCCAAGAACGGACAGTGGGTACAAACTGGCAAAGTAGAAGAGAACCTTTTTCTGCTTTATGAATAATGAGAATGAAAAATCCCTTGAGTGGGTCTGCTGAGAGAAATGGGAACTGCAGAATGACGTATGTGTTTGGAATGTGAGGTGGTAAATGTGAGTGATTAGTGTCCATGTGTGCAGGGGTCAGAGGTCAACCTTAGGTGCCATTCCCCAGGCTCCCTCCACTTTACTTTTTGGGGCAAGGTCTCTTATTGGGATTTGGGGCTCCCAGATTAGGCTAAAATGTTAGACCAGTGAGTCTGAGTAATCCTCCATTCTGTTGGGATTACGAGAGCATGCCACCATGCCTGGCTTTTTATGTGTATGTATGCTCGCAGAGCAAACATTTACAGGCTCCTTTTTTTTTCCTGATCACGTTTACCAAGTATCTAGCTTTTTTTCTCGTTATTCAACACAAGCTCGAATCATCTGAGAGAAGAAGGAACCCTCAACTGAGAAAATATTTCCCTCAGATTAACCTGTAGGTAAGGCTGTGTGGCGTTTTCTTGATTAATGATTAATGATTAATGATTAATGCAGGAGGGCCATGCCCACAGTGGAAAGTGTCACCCGTGGTTAGGTGGCCCTGAGCTGCTTCAGTTCCTACCTCCAGGTTAGCTTCCCTGCTTGGGTCCCTGCCCCAGCTTCATTACTGATAGAGTATTGTCTGAAGTGTAAGACGAAACAAGCCATTTCGTCTTCAGTTGCTTTTGGTCGTGGTGCTTATCAGAGTGATAGAAACCTAACATAAGAAGACAAACCATGGTATAGCCACGCGACAGAGCTCCACTTTTGCCTAGAGGGAAATAGCCCTGTTGTGTGAGAAGTGCAGCCAGCAATGACCCTGCCAACACTGCACACTCGAGGTAGATTCTGTCATGTGAACTATAGTATAATTGTTTCAAAATTGTCTCTAGATTTTTTTTATATCTAAAAGGTCAGTAGATTTTTAAGAAGTTCCTGTGGACATTTAAAGGAGCCAAATGGTGACATGTACTGGATGTTTGTATCCTTCCAAACCTTTTCTTTGGATGTCTGAATTCCCAGTGTTTGGGAGCGAGGGTCTCTGCGGGGATGTTTGCACAAGTGACTTTTCTGTCGCTGTGATAAAATGCCACAATCAAGGTGACTTACTAACGACAGCATTTAATTAGGGTTAGCGGTTTCATGAGACCAGCTAAGAGCTCATACTTCGGAACTGTAGGCAGGAGGCGGGGAACACATTAGAAATGGCAGGAGTCTTTTAAAGCCTCAAGTCCACCCCCAGTGACACACCTCCGAGGTCACACCTCCTAACCCTTCCCAAACAGTTCCACCAATGGGAGGCTGAGTATTCAAACGGATGAGTCTATGGAGGCCGTTCTCATTCACGCTACTACAGACACTACAAAGCTCGAGCTCTCACAAATTCTATCAGTACTCTTTTTATTTTTATTTTTTTCGTTTTTAGAGACCGGGTTTCTCTGTAGCTTTGGTGCCTGCCCTGGAACTTGCTCTGTAGATCACGCAAGCCTCGAACTCATAGAGATCCACCTGTCTCTGCCTCCAGAGTGCTGGGATTAAAGGCGTGCGCCACCACCGCCTGGCTTTATATCAGTGTTCTAATAAGAAGTAAAAAGAGAGAGCTAATCTCTCTGCCATGTCTGGACATAGCAAGAAGACATTTGTTTGCAACGTAAGAAGGGCCTCGCTAGGAATCTTATAATTCTTAGCCTTCAGAACGGTAACACATACATTTCTGCTGTTTAAGGCATCAAGTCTATACTATTTCTGTTACAGCATCTCAAAGTGACTATGCTACAAAGATTTACTTTGCCTTTTAATCATGGCTTTTATTACTTACAGCTATCAAAGCTGCAGAAGGAGAAATCAAACTTGCAAGATCAGCTTCATGACTACGAAGATCGGATTAGTTCCATGACTTCTCACCTTAAAAATGTGAATCAGGAATTTTCATTCACACAGGTACAGAAACATTGACACATGTTGATAGCGCCTTGTGAGAGATTCACCCCTAGAATGGAAATAATTATCTCTGTTAAGTAGAACATATGATTAATTCAATATAAATACCCTTTTCTCAATTATTTATAACCAATATTTCTTACTTTTTGGGAAGGGAAGAGTTTTAGTTTCCAGTTCTCACCTTATAGATTTCCTTTCTTTAGTTTATCCCATGTGATATCTGAACTCCTGACAGTGGAACTCTGGGAAGTATACCGCTAATCTCCTCATTGGTGGTGAGCGACCGCTAGTCACTGTGGGGGCGAGTCTACCCTGGCGGAGTGAGCGCTGGGTTGGGGTGTTTCGTCTCGAGCCTTGTTGTATGTTTCGCTGTAGAACTGTAACGTGCTTCTGTTTTATGCCTTATTCTTCAGGCTCTTTACAAAGCAAGGGAGCGTGAGATTGAAAGTGAAGAGCATTTTAAGGCCATCGCTGAAAGAGAGCTGGGCCGGGTCAAGGACGAGATCCAACAACTGGAGAAGGAGTTGGCGACCATCCAGGAGCGCAAGAGCGATAAGGAAGTGGGTGTGGCTTGCTGTAGTCCTGCTTCTGCTCTCCAGGGAGCGCAACCTTTTCTGTGATTTACTTACAGTTTTTGACCGTGAAAAGACATGTAGCACGCGGGGTGACTTTGGTGGGGGTCTAATGAGTTCTCTGTGAGATAAATACCCTCAAGCCTTTTCACAAGAACTTTGGTTTAACCACGGTTCTTGACCATGTATGATCATCTCTGTTTTGCAACTGGAGAATTCAAATACAAGCACGGTAGTAATAGACTTGAACATGCTATGCCATACGGAAGGCAGAGACATGGGTTCTTTAACTGTTTAGTAGTATAATTTATGTTTTATTGTAGTTTGCACAGTAAATGATGTTTTATCACCACCTTTTCCCTCCCATTCCTTGGAAATTAGAATGGCATATTTAAAGCGACCCAAAAGCTGGATGGCTTGAAATGTCAGATGAACTGGGACCAGCAAGCCCTGGAGGCCTGGCTGGAGGAGTCGGCTCACAAAGACAGCGACTCTCTCACCCTTCAGAAGTATGCACAGCAAGACGATAACAAAATCAGGGTGAGCCGTGAGAAACCGCCAGAACTGCTTTGCTCTGAGTCAGCTTTTAAAACAACAAGTGTCGGTGGCAGGTTTTAAAGGCAACTGTCCTTGAAGGTTTGCGCCAGGGTCTCCAATTGAAATCACGTGTCACGGCCCTAGAGCGATGGCTGCAGTCAAATCCTACAGTGTGTTGCTGACTCTGGGCTGCTCGTCCTCTGAAGTCCGATGACCCACTGGGGAACTGGTTAGGACTTCAAAGGACTGTCTAAATCATCTTAGGGAAGAAAATTCGAGTCGTACTGAACTATTAATTATTTTGGACACTTTGTTTTACATTTAATTTGAATATTGTATGTAAGTTCTACCTATTTAATATTTTTTCATTTGAAAATAGGATTTATTATTCAGAGTGTCCCGTTTTCCTATCTCTTTGGATGAAAATATGTTTACAATTTGAAAAGGAGACAATATTTTACTGATGTAATGTTTCAACTAATCTTACTTGAGCATCGGTGAGACGGCTCAGTGGGAAATGTTTGGGGTATGCAGGGCTGGTAACTTCATCTTGATCCTCATATGAAGATGGAAAAAAGTAGACCCCCCCCAAAGTTGTCTTCCAGCCTCCACATATCTGTCGTGGCCTAAAAACCACAATCGTATCACACATACACACACACACACACACACACACACACACACACACGCACGCACATGCGCACGTGGCACACCAGAATTGTTTTTATAAAGAATAAATCTCATTGCTGTTTCATTATCTGGCGTCTCTGGATAACTCCCTTTGAAGGCACTACTTGGAGATGACGTGCCAAACAGATCACTCGTGGGGACATTAAGAAGTACGGAGCACCAGAGAGGCTTTACATCACCATTCACCATCCAGCTCTCTTATGAGGTGTACAGTTGATGGCTGACTATCCCACTTGATTACATTGATTTGAGTTAATACTGCAGTTGATAAGTTATTGTAATATTATATAAAATCTACTTAGACTCTCTTTACTGGTGGTAATGAAGTTAGTATCACAAACATGCTATTCTCCAGCAGACTAAATACAAAGTCATTATTTTAAGTATTTTCAAATGGCAGGTTGTGTTTCTCTTTTTCCCCCTAATTCGTGCCAAAATCCATCTTAGAAATAAGTGCATTTTCATGGGGGGATGTTCAAACGGTAGATTAAACCTTGGGGCTAGACAATAAGGAAAATACATACTATCTTATACTGTTTATCTAGTGTTTATAATAAGGTATAATGATACAGAATGTTAGTTATGCTATATGCCGGCTTTAAAACTGAAATAACTGACCGTTAAAAATATTTTCCGTGTCCCACACCACAGGCCCTGACCCTGCACTTAGAAAGGCTGACTCTGGAGTGCAATGAGAAAAGGAAGCTTCTAGACAGTGAACTGACGGAGACATTGAGTGCACAGGTTGGTTTATAGAGCCTTCCTAATTTTCAAGGTGGTGTTGGCAAAGGCATTGTATTAACATAAGTGTAATCTGCTCTCTGTCTGACAGTTAGAATTAGATAAAGCTGCGCAGGACTTCAGGAAGATTCACCTAGAACGACAAGAGCTCATCCAGCAGTGGGAGGGCACCATCGATCAAATGCAGAGGCGGGATCAGGAGATTGACAGCTGCGCCCTGGTGAGTGGTCGGCAACTCTGAGGCCCTGCAGACCCTGCAGCGCTGAGCTGGACTTCTCCCGCTCCTGCTGCATACATGAATTTAAATGTACGCCATAGTCAAGTGTGGAGGTGCAAGCTTTTAATCTCAGCACTAGGGAGGCAGAGGCAGGCGGACCTCTGTGAGTTCGCGGCTGGCCTGGTCTACCGAGTGAGTTCCAGGACTGTCAGGACTTTCTAGATAACAAAAACAACAAAACAAAAAACGAACACAAAAAGAACACAAACAACCGCCACCATCAACAACAAAATAAAATGTATATTATGGTGCTATGTGAAAGTCACTTTTCAGTAAGATCCAATGACTCTGGCCAATGTGGCACTATGGAGGTTTCTTTTTTTTTTTTTTTTTTTTTTTTTGCTTATAGTATTATTATCCTTGAGGTTTGAAACTTCCTGCCAGTAATCCTGACCCATGATTGTAGTAACTTGGGGTTCACATGTTGCTGTTTGGCACTAAGTTCTAGGTGTGTAGAAATGGCTGTGTAGATAATGCAGGCAAGGAAGTGGGTACAGAGAGAGCTTGGCTGCCAGGGGAGTCCAGTTTTGAAGCTGTGGAACCAATGGTGAATCAAAGCTCAAAGAGGGCAGGGACGGTGTGGTAGCAATTCAGGCCCAGGACCATCAAGGAGACAGTGTGCGGCAAATCATTAAGGAACCTTGGTGGAAACGGCAGGAAGCTGGGGGGGGGGGAGGGGGAGGACAGAAGAAATCTAGGAAAACAAGCAGGGAGGGAGAGGAAAGCAGAAGTGACCGGGAGTTTGGGCTTCTGAGAGCTGGATGTGGTTTATTTTAATGCCTGTTTTATTGACTGAAGGGCCATGCCTCTCTAGCAAGAATTACAGAGAACCATTTTGGTTTTATAGCTGCAGCCCCTGAAGGTTGGAGCCAGTGTTTCCTCTGAGTGTCTATTAAAATCGAGTGTCTTTTCGACAGAAAAAGGCTGCAGGTAGATGCAACACCATGCACACTCTTCATTCTGGAGACTGAACCAGTGTCCATTTCTTTAGTTCCTATTGCTTTCAAATCTGCTGTCCTGGGTCTACGATCACAGCTGTCTGGTCAGCGCTGGCGCAGAGCACAGGCTAGTCGGTTTAGGCTTCTCTTCTCTTCCTCCCTTTCTCCAGTGTGTATCTTGCTACCAAACAACACACATGCCATATCCAGGGTACCACTTAATAAACAGCACTGTTAACAAACACGGATGCTGCTGCTGTTATTAAATTATCTACCCAAGTGGCAGAAAAGCCAAAGTGATGAAGGCTTTCAAGTGAGCACTTGAAACATTGAAACATAGATTCTGACAGTCTTCTGGTTATCCCAACACAATAGTGTTCCTCCTTGCTCATTATCCAATTCATAGCCTCTTTTATAATTGTTATATGCATATATGTATACGTACATACACATATATATCCCTAAATATAGCCTGTTCAATTTTTTTTTGGAAGATAAGTTTGTAATTATATTTATGCACAGGAAGCTTATCTGTACTTTTAACCCAGTTTAGTGGTGAGTTCTTTGACCTTTGCCTTTTCCAGCTTGACAGTTTGAGCCCCAGATTTAGGACCCAGGACATTGCCTCCCTAGTGGTGGCGGATCTCACCATATCTGTCATTGTAATTGGTCCTAATAGCTTCCACCAGCTTAGGCAAAGCACCCTGTCTTCTGAGCTAACCTCTGTTAGACAACAGTGGTGCACGTCTTCCTGTGGACCAGCCGCCCCAGCTTGGCCTTTCCCTTGATGATGCAGTAGGGGACCCCCATCTTCCCACATGGGGCAGGCAGGAAGACCACCAGCTCAGTGGGGTCTACACCAGCTGAGCCTTCTTGTTCTCCACCAAGGCAGTGACTGTATTGACCCCGGCTCGAAGGACAGGTGGTTGTAGTAATAGGGGCGGCGGGGCTGCTTCCCCAGCACCCCGGCTGTCTGCCCGGCTAGCTTATGCCCGAAATAACAACACACAAACTGTATTCATTTAATCACTGCTTGGCCCTTTAGCCCTAGCCCTTACTGGCTAATTCTGTTATCCCGATCAACCCATCTCTAATAATCGGTGAGCACCGGTCTTACCGGGAAAGGTTCAGCATGTCTAACCTGGCGGCTTGCTTCATGGCGTGTGTCTGCCCGGGAGCAGGGCATGGCGTCTCTCTCAGGCGTGTGCTCCTGAGAGAGCTGTGGAGTCTCTGACCTCACTTCCTCTTCCTCCCAGCATTTTGTTCTGTTTACTCCTCCCACCTATCCTCTAACCAATAAAATGGGCCAGGGCAGTGCCTTTATTAGCCAATGACCTTCCTCCATCATTTCCCCTTTTTCGGTTTAAACAAAAAAAGGCTTTAACTTTAACATAGCAAAATTACATATAACAAAACAGTTATCAAGTAAAAGTTACAATAATCTTTATCATAACTAAGGAAAACTATAACTATAACTAACTATTCTTAACTCCATCAAAGACACCAGAAAGATATAATATTACCTAAGTAAATAAGAACTAAGAAACTTCAAACTCTAGAAATGACAAAGACATCTCGCTGCCTGGACAGTCACCCAAAGTTCTTTTGTACCATTGGGGCATCCATCTTCAGCCTTCAGGCCCATGGTATCCAGCAGACATTTCCATAAAGCAGGAAAATTCAAAGTCAGTTAAGTCACTATCTGTTGTGTCCTGCAGAATGTCTCGCAGACTCTTTCAAAATGAATCAGGAACCCCGAAAGATCATCTCACCTTAGGCAAGTTCAGTAGTCCTCTCTCTGCGGGTTCTCTGTGTCCAGTTTATGCAATAGTCCAGGCAAGAGCAGTTTCTTGCCCAAATGGCTATCAAACTCCATAAGGTGCCTCTTCGATGCCCATCTTCCTCTTGAAGTAGATTGGTGCTGCCAGGAGCAGAGTGTCTCATTGTCATGAAAAGTCCTCAGTTATTAAAACATTAAATGTCCTATTCTGTAATATTTGAAAGACATGAAGAATATCTATCTAAACTATATCTCTATATATCTAGAAAATCTAACTAACATGACTACAAGCTTTACTATTATCGATGATTATCCATTAACAACCTATATTTCTTAATTATACAGTACATATTTAAATAAACTACACAATCACGATACCTTAATCAAAATCAGAAACACTTATATATATAACAAAATTGACCTTAAATCTCTATCAATAAAGCAAAATCTATACTAATGCAAATTATTCATACCTATATCATATCCCCCTTTAAATGTAAAAGAACATTTATAAACATTTTTTTGGGAATATGGGCGCAGTTATTTCTCTCCAAACTGCTTCCTGCTGAATGGGGGCGTCGTTAATTAGGTCTTTCATGGTATAACCTGTGTGCTAGTTTCATCTCAGTTGGCAGTTGAGCGAAGCAATTTTCTGAAGGTGTTCACACCAACCCTTCAGGAGGGCGTGGTCCATCATACCAAATCGGAATAGAAGAAATAAACAGCGTCTCATCCTCTGTGAAAACAAAATAAGAAACTCCTTTCCAAAGTATCATGTCCTTAGATCCAAATTTCAAAGCCAAGGCATCAAAACATCCATGTTGGATTAGCTCAGCAGCATCTACAAATAAATATCTTTTAGCAGCTGTTGGTCCTTCCTCAGCATTCAAACGATTCAAAGAGAGCATAATAGCATACAGTATCAAAATTCTCTGTATATTTTCCATCTTTGTGCAGCTTTGTTTTAACCTCTATTTTGTTTATTTTTACTTTTAACTCTTTGCTTTTTGAGACAGGTTCTCTGTATCTTTGACCTGAAGTAACTCTGTAGACCAGGCTGTCTTTGAACTCTCAGAGATCCGCCTGTCTCTGCCTCCCAGGCATTCGGGATTAAAGGTGTACACTACTACACCTTGAACTCACAGAGATCTGTTTGTCTCTGCCTTCTAGGCACTGGGATTAAAGGCGTGTGCTACCACACACAACAACTCTCTTCCTTTTTTTATGTTTTTTACTTTAAGAACTTCAACTTTTAGTCTGCATATATTTTTAACACACTTTAAACCATTCAGAAATTTTCTCTGTCTTTGAATCTCTCTTTACTGTATATCTCTCTTTTTCTGACCACATGAGTCTTTAATTTACCAAGCGATCTCAGTAGGACTAAAGGCGTGGCTTTGCCAGCTAGATCCAGTCCATTCCTTAGCTTTCCAGCCTCATGGCTGAGGTACTGGCTGTAGCCATGTTTACTGGATGGCATTTCAAGGTCCCTGCCAGCAAGTGAGCTACAACAGACAACACTCAAGTCCTCTCTCTCGGTAGCCGGCCCTCCTGCCTCAAACAGTCAGAGTTTGCCCTGGCAGGATGGCCCAGAAAGCCGGCATTTTTAAACGGTGCAGCTTTTTTCCTGCTACGGCTGAAAACCGAAAAGCATGCATTCAGCTTTTCGTCAACATCATTTAAGTGTTTCGTGGCAGGACCTCTTAATGAGCTGCAGGTTTTGCAGCTAAAGCTGAGTCAGGAAGCCTCTCTTAGATAAGGCGCTTGCTTGCCTCTAGCAAGCAGAGCAGACCCGAGAACACAGCGAGTCTAGTTGCCATCAAACAAATCGTAGCACTTTACTCCAAATGCTCCATTCAAAAGCTCTGTCTCCTGCAGGAGCCAGATAGAGATCGCAATGGCAGCACAGCCCCAGGAAGTCGCGCTTTAAAATGACACAGCGTTTTTTCTGCTACTGTTGCCGAATCAGGAAATCTCTCTACAGCATGCCACCAACAAACAGCAAAAATCTGTGTTAAACTCTCTTTCCCTTATTTTTAAGCCTTCTCAGGTTTTTTAAGTGGGTTTAGTCCATCACGTGGGGCGCCATAATGTAGTAATAGGGGCGGCGGGGCTGCTTCCCCAGCACCCCGGCTGTCTGCCCGGCTAGCTTATGCCCGAAATAACAACACACAAACTGTATTCATTTAATCACTGCTTGGCCCTTTAGCCCTAGCCCTTACTGGCTAATTCTGTTATCCCGATCAACCCATCTCTAATAATCGGTGAGCACCGGTCTTACCGGGAAAGGTTCAGCATGTCTAACCTGGCGGCTTGCTTCATGGCGTGTGTCTGCCCGGGAGCAGGGCATGGCGTCTCTCTCAGGCGTGTGCTCCTGAGAGAGCTGTGGAGTCTCTGACCTCACTTCCTCTTCCTCCCAGCATTTTGTTCTGTTTACTCCTCCCACCTATCCTCTAACCAATAAAATGGGCCAGGGCAGTGCCTTTATTAGCCAATGACCTTCCTCCATCAGGTGGTCTCTTAGTCGGGATGTCCCCTTTGCCGGTAGCTTTCTTCTCAGTACGGGCCAGCAGCCGTTGCTTCTTCTCCTGCTTTGTCTCCGGCCTGTAGTCGTGTGCAAGCTTAAGGAGCTGGGTAGCTATAGAGGATGGCCCCCTGCCGCTGCAGCCGAGTGTAGCGGGGCCATTTGACGAAGCGCGTGAGATCTCTCTTGGGCTGGATGTCCTGCCCAGTGCCAAAGGGCTTAGGCCTCTTCTCAAACAAAGGATTCACTACCTCTCTGGCCTTCTGTTTCTTCATGATGGTGGGAGCCCGGGCCACCTTTCCCCCTAGGTCTTCTTTCCCTTGGGCATCTTGCTTAGCTGGAGGCGAATCAATTTATCAATTTGTATAATGTTAGTTGTATATATGTTTTCCTGGCTGACAGTTTGGTATAGGACAACCTATTGGTGTGCTCTTCCTTGGGGAAGACTATTTCTCCCACTCCCAGTGTTCCTTAGTTACCTGTAGTTCTTTATGTAGGGTTGGGAGCCCATGGTCTTTTACTCATCCACTTCGGTATGTCTAATTGTTATCCTTGGTCAGCTCATATTTGGGTTGTCAGGCTGGCAAAACTTTCCAGTTGTAGCTTTTGATGTTCCTAGGAGACACAGTCTCCGAGAAAACACACAGATCCTCTGGCTTTACAATCGCTCCACCCTCTCTTTCTCAATGTTCCTTTGGCCTTAGGTGTGGGCATGGACCAGGCTCCACAACTCTGCATTTTGATTGGTTGTGGTTTTCTGTACTGGTCTCTGTCCGTCACAAAGTGAAGTTTCCTTGATGAAGGGTGACAACCACACTTATCCTTGGGTATAAGAAAAAAAAATATTTAGCTGGACGGTGGTGGCACACACCTTTAATCCCAGCACTCAGAAAGCAGAGGCAGGCAGATCCCTGTGAGTTCGAGGCCAGCCTGGTCTACAAGAGCTGGTTCTAGGACAGGCTCCAAAGCTACAGAGAAACTCTGTCTTAAAAAAATTAAATAAAAATAAAAAAGAAAGGAAGAAAAATATTTAGAATGTACTTAGAGATTATATTGTTTTAGTAAAGTGATTGTACGTTTTCCTCCAACATCCATGACTTTACTGGCCCTGGGTAGTTGGCTCAGTTTCTAGTACTAGGAATGATTTTCCTTTTAAGTGAGCCTTAATTCCTATCAGTCCAACTAGGTTACTGCCAAGGCACGAATGCCTCCACTGCACCTTTACTGGTACCATGCCATGCTGGCCATTGATATGGTTCATAGGAATCGTAGATGAACTGTTGGCTGCTTCCCTCATTTGGAAGCTTGCATGGTGCCGTTTGATTCCATGGACGCCAGTTCTCACAGTAGAGACAATGCTCTCAGGGGTCATATGGCCAGCAGCTTCTGTTGGGAGGAGGTCTGCTCCTTTTCCTTGCAATACTTGACCTGTACACGAGATATGGAATTCTGAGGATTATTTTTATTAATATGACTTCAGTGCAATCAAAAAGCCTGTGAGGGCATTTTTTATTGAAGCCTCTAGTAATTTGAATGTAATTGACCCCCAATAATCTCACAGGGAGATGCGTTATTAGGAAGTGTCTCACTGTGGAGGCAGGCTTTGAGGTCTCATATATGCTCAAGATATCACTCAGTGTCTCAATACACTTCCTGTTGCCTTCTGATCAAGATGCAGCCAGCACCATGTCTGCCTGCATGATGCCATGCTCCCTGCCATGACGATAATGGACTAAACCTCTGAACTGTTAGCCGCCACTTCAATTAACTGTTTTCCTTTATAGGAGTTGCCATGGTCATGGTGTCTCTTCACGGCAATAGAAACCCTAATTAAGGCAAAACCAATAACAAAATGTATTTTCCTTTGATGTTTTTTTTTTGATACAGGGTCTCTTTTGTGTAGCCCAGGCTGGCCTTGAGCCATGAGCTCTGGGCTGCCTTCACTTTGGGCCTTGAGCTCTGGGCTTCACTCCACCTCCTGAGAGCTGGGAATAAAAGCATATGCTACCACATCTGGCCGAAAGTTACTTTTAAAAGATGAAAAATGGGTCTATACAGTATTTAGATTTCACTGAGGTCTAAGATTTAATGTGAAAAATAGTCAGTCCTATTTCCTTGTGTGTTTCTTTGCGGGGAGGGGGCATTCCCTTTCTGTATAAAGGCCTAAGCATTTCTGTGCTCTTCAGCAAGGTTCCAGAGAGAAAAGATAAATATAATGACATTCAATGATGTGAACTCATAGACATTCAGGGGTAGCATATTGATAGTCCATCTTATTTTTAGCCAGGTGTGGTAGCACACATCTTTAACCCCAGTTCTCTGAGAGGCAGAGGGAAGCAGATCTTTGTGAGATTGAGGTGAGGCTGGTCTTTACAGAGAGTTCCCGGTCACCCAGGGCCACAGCATGACCCTGTCTCCAAACAACTGTACACTCTCCATGACAGCAAAAAGTATTTTAAAGGCATTTTTTTTGTAAAAAATAAGTACTGAATATAAAAATGAAAACTAAATTCCTTTGTATTTCAGTTGGTACTTATTCAATAAATATTTAAATGCACGCATTCATTTCAATTCTAGATATTAGCAAGGATAAAGCAGGAAACAAGAGAAAAAGAAGGCGTGGTGAAAGAAAAGATCAAGTTTCTGGAAAATGAGGTTGGGAACAACGTAGAATATGAAAGAAGAATTTCTGTCGCCGAGCGTAAAGTTTTAAAGTGCAGGATGGAGTACCAGCGACATGAAACCAGCAGGAGTCAACTGAAGGACGAGGTGCGCCACCCAAACCCTGGTCATTGATGGCAAAGAGTGACCTGCTGGCTCTTTTCCTTAAATCTTTGTGTGTGTGTGTGTGCACATGTGCATGTATTTTCTTTTCTTTTTTCTTTTCTTCCTTCTTTTCTTTTCTTTCTATTTTGACAAGACTTCACTATGACCTGGCTGCCCTGAAATTTGCTATATAGACCAAGCTGGCGAGGAAATCACAGTTCTACCTGCCCGCCTCTGCCTCCCATTTAATGGGAATAAATGTATGTACCACCACAGCGCGTTTTTGTCCCTATCATGGGACTTCAGGGTACTTTGTTTGAGCCCTTGTACTGTGAGGCCAGGGGGTGTGCCCTAAACCTCAGGTCCTGCACAGGGATCCCTGCTGGGTACTGCCAGTGCTCCTTTGAGATCTAGTGTCTGTGAGATGTGAGGCTGATGTTTCCAATGACCCATCCGCACAGGGATCACCATGAGTGGGCATGCACGAGGAGTGTTGCTAGGGAATGTCTTGCCATGTCGGGCATGTGTGACATTTGTGCCAGCATCTGCCAGGGACCTGCTGAAGTTGTTTTCCATTTTAAGGGACAGTATTTCAGTCTGACCATAGGAGTAGTGATGGATGGCCTTGACGCAGAGAGAGCAGAACTTTTGTCCTCTGCTTCTTTTGCAGGTTCCACAACAGCTGGACTAGCATACGAGAGTTAATGACCCCTTCTTCAGCAACAAAAGGACCATCCTAACACTTCTGTTTTCAGTCCCTGCTATCTAAAGCTACCACTCCTTAGGCAAAAAGCAGAATCTTATAAACCATTTTATTATACAGTATATTGTACTTTCCTCTCGGATAGTTTTTTTTCTGCCAAAGAGCTAATTATGTAAGTTCCTAAAGAAGGTAATTTCTCCTTATGTTAGATGTCACCAAGAGCTGGAGAGCTTTAGCCATTGTAGGCAAGTGGACAGAGGCAGGCATCCCTGTTCCTGACTCACTGAGGTGTAAATCCCAGAGACCTGCCCATCCTCCAGATATCACAAATGAGTGGCTTTCGGGATGTTTGCGTAGCTGTGGGAATAGTCCCTGCTGGCTGACTGCAGAGCTGTTTCCATTTCTAGCATGTTTTTGTTACCCCTATAGCTTTAGGTCACTGGTCACTTTTTCTTCTCCCTTCTTTCGGCCCAACACCTGACATTGCCGATCAGCTTCCTGTCACTCTAGATTGGCCTCATCCATGTCTCTCATAGAGTGGGATCATGCAGTATTTTGTTCACGTCTTCAGGATGTCATCCTTTCTGTGTAGAACACTGTCCCATCATGTGGCTAGACGTCATAGTTTGCACACCAGTTCTTGGTGACTACAGCTGTTTGCAGTGTTAGCATGCCAGATGTCTTTTTGTGTCTGATTTTATTTAGTATACATTTCGGGTTTGTTGCTGTTGTTGCACATGGCTGGATTTCCTTCTTTTTAAACGTGGATAATATTCTACCGTACCCCCTGCCCCCCCCCCCCCCCCGCTATATTTTCTTTAGCCATTCATCTGATTAGAAACGCTTAGGCTGTTTGCCTGCCCTGGCGATCCTGAGTAATATTGTCAGAAATGTGGTGGAGTGTAGAGATCTCTTTGACATAGCTTTTATTTGTATGTAGGAGTGGGCTTACCGGAACGTCTGTTGGTTCTGTTTTTACTATCCTGAGGAATTCTCTCACTGGTTTTTTTTTTTTTTTTTTTTTTTTTTTTGACTAATGACACTGTCTTTGTGTGGCAAATGGAACATCATCACAGCCTGCTGATGCTGGCCTGTGTTCCCTTGGGCTCAGTGGTGCTCACCGTCTTTATGTACCTGTTGCTTGTTGATGCTTTCTTCGGGAAGATGCCTGCTCAGGACAATTGTTACGCTTCCACTGCCGTTGGGTGGCTTGGGTTGCTGGTGTATTTGGAGATGAGCCTTTTATCAGCTGTGGTTTGGGAGTGTTGTGTAGGTTGTCTGTGCACTGTGCTGCTGTCCTGAGTAGGCAGGAGAGTGTCAGGTGATGATTTTGCACGTTTCTGGTTGAGTCTTGAGGTCTTCCGCCTCCAGCTGCGCTTGTCTGGGTGTTCTGACAGGTTATCTGTTCACACCAAGTTGTCCAGAGTCATGTGACATGTTCCCCCTAAGCAAGTCTAGTGAGTAGATGATTCTCCATGTACTTTCAACTTGTAAATGGGGATATTGACCATTTTCTCATGCTATAAAAGAAAAAGTCATTTAAGATTTGATGTGGGATGCAAGAAGATCCTCAGATATGTGTTAATCATAAAAGTTGTTATTTTAGCCTATATTTTTCTCTTTGGTTTTTTTTTGTTTTTTTTTTCGAGACAGGGTTTAATGGGTGCTATTAACTTAGAATTAGAAGTAGGGAGGATGGCATTTCTCGGAAGTAAAATTAACTTATTGAATATGAATATGTAATTTTTTCTGTCTACTGGTTCATAGCTGGATACTTTAAAAATTACTCTCAATAGAACGTCCAGCGACTTAGAAGCTCTGAGGAAAAACATTTCCAAAGTAAAGAAGGACATCCATGATGAAACATCAAAGTAAGAAACTCCATATAAATATATTGTAAATATTAAATATGTTTATGGTCTATTTTAGAAAATTATTAATGGTTACAATTATTTTTATAAATACATGCAAGATTGTAACTGCTACATTCTTTTTTTTTTTTTTTGGCGTTAGGAATGAAACTTAGGGCCTTGAAGGTGGTAGATAAACACTTTACCACTTAGTGGTACCCCTGACCCCAGAACTTCACCTTATCTCACTGAGCTCCACCCTGTCGCTCTGAGCTCCACCCCAGCCCATTAAAGTCCAATCCAGGCCACTAAGCTCCACCCCAGAACACTGAGCTCCACCCCAATCCACTGAGCTCCACCCCAGCCCACTGGGCTCCACCCCAGCCCACTGGGCTCCACCCCAGCCCACTGAGTTCCACCCCAGCCCACTGAGCTCCACCCCAGTGCAGTTGCTCCATTATTAAACTCCAGCTTTTCTCTTTTTTTTCCAGCAGAGGCTCAGAGCAACACTTTTATAGTCTATTAGATTCATGATGGCAATAAAAATGTCTGCAGCAAAAGAAACAAGTATTTGTGTGTGTGTGGGTGTGTCAAATACCCATTTAAACGTGTTTTCTATATTTCCTTGTAAACCCTATTTAGGTTACAGAAACTGAAACATCACAATGAGATTGTGAAGAATAAACTGAAGACGATAACCGAGAAGACCATTTCTGTGGAGGAGAAGGCCACCAACATGGAAGACATGCTGAAGGAAGAGGAGAAGGTGGCCAAGGTCAGGCTTGCTTTGTGCATTCCCAGAACCACAGCAGTTTCCAAGAGTGAAGTGATGAGACTGTGGGGTCAGAGGGCTGTGGAGTCTTAAAGGGCCCTGACTCTGAGGGTGGCCGCACTCTATGCCCTGTAGCCGTCTTTTTTATCTTAGCCCATTTCTTTCCAGTGCCCATTGTGCCATGTTCCCCTACCTATGCCTGCCAGTGTGCAGATCCTGACAAGTGTCCCTGTTTTACAGCTTACTCTGCCCCATTGTCATCTTGTACGTATTTGTGATTAACTCTCTCCTCTCCATACATTTGTCCATGGCCAGTATTTGATCATTGTTTTAAACTCTTCCAGTCTGGCAGCGTTTTTGGCAAGTGGTTTGTGAAATGTACCATTTCATTCGTTAGATTGGCCTCTTCTTCCACCAGGCTCCGGCGAGCTAGCAAGAGTAAAGTTAACTTTTAAGAAACTGGAGAAGGTTGCCTTGCCGTATTCTCTTTGGAATACTGAAAATGGCATCGGCACTTCTGACATGGCAGCCCCACCTCTGACTTTTCCATATTTTGCAGAGGAGATGAGATAATGAAGACAGTGCAATCTGAGCACTCGATGAGGCTCATAAAATACAACTTCGCTTACATTTGATGACTCCTGGTTCCCCGATGTGTTCTGAGTTCCCAAGTAACAAAGTATTTGGCCCGAGTGGTTTTGAGTGTGAATCTTGCCTTTGTGTTTTGCCTTGCCTTAAGAACACGGTTTTCTATGGTGCAAATGTGGACAGCAAGTAGAGCTTCTGACAAAAAAATAAAAATAAAATAAAAAAATAAATCCCTGCAAGACTGAAAGTGTGTGAAATAAATCTTTTCATCACAGAGCATAATAAAAGTTGTGACCTTTAACAAGGCGGGTAACTGAGCTCACTGTGGCTGTAGTTATCTGTACAAGACTCCCACAAGATTGGCCCATCAGCAATGCATTAGGAATGGAGGACCCACAGGCCCAGCCTCCCAGAAAGACGGTTAGCAAGTCATGCCCATTAAAGGAGCTGTCAATAAGTTGCCCTTGCTCCAGTGAATAACTTTTCGCCTATTTGTTTGGGGAAAGCTCAATGGACTTTGTCATCGTTTAGTCCAGACTTTCAAATTCTGCAGAGCAATCCTTAAGAAAGTCTTGAGTTCAGGGAGAAGTGACAACTGCATGAGAAATGCCACATCCGTTACTGGTTATTTCTTGATTTGTGAAGATTTGTACACACTGGTCATGCGCTTGTTTTGTTTCACGTTGGGGTTCATTAGCTACAAAGGGAGAATGTGGCTCTGAGGGAAAATTCTCTCAGCGTTTGGAAGCAGTAAGCTGCAGTTGGTCTGGGTTTGGCAGGTCAAAGGGAAACTGAGCATGTGTTGGCCATCAAGCCTTGAGGTCACGGTAGGTCCTCTTAGAGAAGCGACAGATCAGAGACTTGCACAAAGGGACACCAAGGAGCGCACAGCCTCCTTGAAGGGCTGGGCCAGAAGTTTCCTGGGGGCTGGTTCCTACCAGTTCTCAAGAGCCAGCAGTTAAGTTTTCAGGAATATTGATAAGTTCACTGCTAAATATGGCAACCATTAAAACCCAAATTCTAAGTAGACTTATAGCTAAAAACAGTATATTCAACTAAGTAATAACTAACATTCATCATTTGTGAATTATACTCTATGATTAGCTGTGCGCTCAGGGTTAAATGACATCTCTTACATTGTCCCCTGTATGCTGGTTTGCTTCTGTATGCCACCTCCGTGGTAGTGTAAGTATACAAGTAGCTTGAAATTGCCCGCTGTGGGTGTGCTGACACCACAGGAGGAGTGTTTGCCCTTAGTCCCCATCCACTGGAGAGCGGATGGCTGTTTTCACCCTGATAGTGGCCCTAAGAAGTTCCCAATTGGACAGTATGATTTCCTCCTTTACATTCTCAAGATTATTCAGTGAACTCTGAACTCATGGGGTATCTTGTTCTGAGGCCAGGGATGGAGTTAGGGTGATAGGTTAGGGTGATGACACAGGAGTGGAAAATGACAATCTCATATGCCAGCCTAGGAGAAAAGAAATTTGGGGGAGGGGTGGAAGCTTAGGAAGACTTTCTGTTTTCAAGGGCTAAGTGTGGACGGGAGGGTCTCGTTTGTTTCTGAGCTCCTAAATGTTCACGTTCATGTAAACACAAAGCTTAAGCTATCTGAGTTCATTAACGGTCATATTTCTTACAACTTCTTACCAGGAAGTGGAGGTTCAGCTGAACATAGTGAAGGACGTGCTCTTTAAGAAAGTTCAGGAGCTACAGAATGAGACAATGAAGGAGAAATCCCTGGTCTCAGAGATCGAAGGAACCCGATCCTCCATCAAACATCTGAACCAGCGCTTGCGCAAGCTGGACTTTGAAACCCTGAAGCAGCAGGAAATCATGTACAGTCAGGTAGGCGCTCTTCTCCGTGGGTGTCCACTGTGAGGACTTGCCATGCCAGAGGTGGTCAAGTCACCCCAGTGCCCATGCAAATGGAGCGTTCCTCGATGGACAGCTGATGGCGACAGCTGGCTGCCATGCGAGGATAGCGGAGCCTCGCGAGAGCCTTAGAAGCTATTTTTTCCAATGTAAAAGGAACAGGCAAGGGGACAGACACTAGTGAGGAAGGGAGGCCTGTGCTTTAAAGGAACCTGGAGCAGTGGGAGCCAGAGTAGAACAAAAGAAGTCTGCAGACGAGAGCATCTCCCACCCGCCTTATCTCCTCAGTTTTGCCTACTTCATGGTTCTGTTTATTTCCTAACACCTCCCACTCACATCTTAATTTCTCAATCGAAAAAATTTATCAGTTTTGCAATGTCATGCTATCATAGATGCTAAAATAAAATTAAAAATCTAATTCATTATACACTGAGCTTTCCATGGTTACTGTGACAGGTGTTTGTTTTTTGTGTCCTTTGACAACTGTCCTGCAGGCATCCCACGCCTGTGCGTACAGATCCTGTGATTCCCAAGCTGCACCATGTTGTTCCTGGTGGTGTTTGTGTTGCTGTCCTACATTCTGACTGTTGAGCAGTCAGGTGTTGCAGACTGTTCCTCCCCTTATCCTAAAAAGGATTTTATCCTCATTTCCTGAAGGACCAAGTTGACTTTCCTAGCGAGTGGTGCTCAGAGCAAAGCGAGGAGTGCATGGGCTGCTTCTGCACTTCCATGGAGGTCTTGTTGCCTGGATACACACACCCACTAACTTCTTTTAAAAATCTTTCAACAGGACTTTTACATTCAGCAAGTTGAACACAGGATGTCACGACTAAAGGGAGAAATTAATTCGGAGGAGAAGCAAACCCTTGAAGCAAGAATCGTTGAACTTAAGAAGACACTGGATGAGAAAAAATCCACGCTTTCCCTTTTGGAAGCACAGATCAAGAAGCTGCATGTAACTAACTCCTCCTTCTAACGTGGTTTCCGTATCCTGCTGAGTGCTCCTGTTGTGGGCAGTGATGTCTAGCGACCCACACACATAACAGATGCTTGTATCCCTGGGCTCTCAGGATGTCACGGCGCTCTCCCGAGCTTTCACTCTGTATAGCTGCTGCATCATGTCCCTGCCATATGGTTTCGCTTAACTCTTGTAAATGCTTTGTCAAGATGATTTCCCTTCTTATAGGCAAAGACACTGTTCAGGGCTACACAGTGAGTGCATGGGGAGGAAGGATTTAAACTCAGATCCATTTGACTTAAAAGCATTCTTAACTGTTTAGGATATTGGGACACTCTACTTTTTGCCCCAGTAAAAAGTGCTACCAGGGAACTTTTTTCCCCCATGACTAATTTGTTCTCGTGCAGCTATGCAGTTACGTTTGAAACAACTACAGTTAGGCGGGAGGACAGTTCAACTTTAGGGAAGGGACTTGATTATGTCTGTTGTAAACCTCTGTTGAAGTTTTATGGTGGGAAAGGCCAAGGAGGGAGAATGGAATTTCTGTTTATGAGTACTGTGAAAGTTGGAAAGGCTGGTGATGAGTGGCCTCTAGTGGTCATAAGTAGAATTGCCTCGAGTTTCTTGAAGGCAAGACATTTAATTTTAACATGAACGAAACATTTGATTGGAGTTTATAGTTTGATAACATAGTTTTCAGGTGGGTACCTAGGTTTTCTGGAAAACAGCACTGACTTTGAGATCAGGCACACGTTTGAATGTCGAGGTTACATGGCTCCTGCTATTTGATCTTTCTTGAGCGTAGGTTTTCCATTAGCCAACAAGGGAAAAACAGGAACAATTCCTGCTGAGTACTCTCCACAGGTTTTGACCATTTAGAGTGGAACATGAGGACACGGGTGTGAAGAAACGAGAGGGCTTTTTTAGCTGTGCTGTATGGGGAGCCCCCAGTGGTCTTCCAGTCCCTAACCACCCCAGCTGCTCCCGCCACTATGAAGCTGGTTGGTGCACACGCCATTCTGTTCCCCATAGATCCCAGGTTAAGGCTGGCTAAAGCGCGGAGTGTTTGCTCTTCCCTGCAGTGGGCAGGCTGAGGGATTGTGTGTGAGAGTGAAGTCCCACTCTACTGGAGCTCTGAACCTTTCGGAGGGAGAAAACAGCCTCAGGTTGAAATGCTAACACGTTCATCTATTTTATTTTATTATTTATGATGTATGTCTGTGGGCTTGTGTGCCACTGTGTTTATGGGTCACTGGAACCATACTATTAACCGAGGGTCCTGAGCTCTCCAGACCGGTAGTGTTTTACCACCCGGCACTTGGTGCCCTGTAATGAGCTATTCGCAGGGTCCTATTTCCTCCTGAATGGTCAGCACCTTGAAAACTAGGCTGACTTGGAAGAACACATGATTCTTCTTAGAATTATTGATCTCACGCTAACCCCAAAACATCCCAAGTGATTGAACTTAGTGTTCTTGTGTGAATACACGTGGGGAGGTTGAAATCTCCAGCTGTTGAGACGTGACTCAGTGCAAGGCGTATCTACTTCTGTCTACTTATATACTACTTCCCTTCTATTTGCAGAATGATCTCTACTTCCTTAAGAAGTCAAACATCAAGAATAATGACGAGAAGCAATCTCTCATGAATAAAATAAACGAACTGCACCTTTTCGTTGACAGATCGGAGAAGGAACTGAATAAGGCTAGAGTTGCCAAACAGGTGCGCCAAATCTCCCTGCGCAGTTGATGAGTCACAGGCACCATAGCAACATGGGGATAGTAAAACAAGGAAGTAATTAAGGGGAAAATCGTGATATCCACAGTATTTAGGATTAAGTGTTAATGTGTATTATTTCCTCTTTTTAGAAGAATTGCCATTATGATGTTTTATTACAAATGTTTAATTTATTACACATGCTTCCTACATCAACTTTTCTTTAAACAGTAATTCTCCAGCACTTCCTCCAGGGATAGTTTATGAGCTCAGTATAACCTAAGTTTTTTTGTGATCTGGGGCTGTTTCTGATAATATGTGTAAGTGCTGTATCCATTGTGTTGTACAGTTGTTGGAGTAATTTCTAGCTGTGTAATTAAACTAAAAATAAGTATGTTAGAGACTTGAAACTATTTTAAACTCAAATTGTCCTCTAGATGGTTCCCTTAATAATCATCCACCATCCATGTGCAACTGTGGCTAGATCCTATTTCCAACTTGACGGGCAAATATGAAATCTCCGTGTTTTAATTTGTACTTTTTACTTGGTAATATTTTAATGATATTTATTTAAAGTTTTAAACATTGCATCACATTCCATAGTTTTTGAATAGCCAGTTTATATTCTTGGTTCATTTTCTTCCATTCAGGGATTTATATTTGTTTTATAAATTATTTTGTTTTGTAAAAATAACTCTTAAATATTGCCAATATTTTCCCCATTTGCTTTTAGAGTGTTTTTGACATGAATCATTTAATATTAAGTTTCAAGAGTCTTTAATGTTTATGTGTAGAAGCTTGTGCTAAGTCAGACAAATGTTTGCTCTTTCTACTGGGTTGCAGTGATTCCATCCGTTGCATTGGCATGTCTCATTCACCAGTAGCATCTTTCTGGACATGTGAGATGCAGTAATCTCGTCTCTTGCAACCTGAAGGCTGTGCTTGAGAAGCAGCCTGCTTTACACCCTCAACTGTTTGCTCTCTGTCGTGGGAGTCGATCCATTTGTCGACTTCTATGCTAAACTCTACACATGGAAGAATGATTTTAAACAACATATGCATTCCACATTAGTTTGTGATAGCTATGTTGGAGTATAAAGTGTTTATTTGTGGGATTTACATGTTTCCTGGAATATTACATTTCGATTGTAGGAATGCCTGTATAGTCTAGTAAAGCTTGGACTTAAATTTAAATTAATAACAATGATTTGGAGCAGCCACAGCTCTCCATTCTGCTTTCTTTCCTTGCTAATATCTTAGTCAGTGGTCTAATTGGGAAACGTGTTTTCAAGTTTGACTTTTACCTCAGTAAAAAAGAAAAATACCTTGATTTTGATATAGAAACAATCACATTAATAAATATTTTGTTATGTTGGTAGGATTTGATGATTGAGGACAATCTTTTAAAGTTTGAGGTTAAACGCACCCGAGAGATGCTGCACGGCAAAGCAGAGGAAGTCCTTTCCCTGGAGAAAAGGAAACAACAGCTGTACACAGCAATGGAGGAGAGAGCCGAGGAAATCAAGGTGCACAAAGCCATGCTCGCCTCCCAGATCAGATACGTTGACCAGCAACGACAAACTGTGAGGTGATTATCAGGGTTTTCTCTGCTAAAGAACTTTGTAAAACCATGTCAGGGTGGTGCCAAGAGAGCCACTTGACACCACCCTCATGCCCATCTTTCTCTGACTCAACTGAAAGGTTTTGACTTCAGTGTAAGACAGAGGATGCACTGAGCCAGAGGTCTAGGTGACTTTCTTTAGGCTAATCCTGTACCCTTGACACATATCCCTACTGAGTAATCTACTTGATTTTTAAAACGCATGTGTATTCCTGTATATGTATATGCAGGTGCACGTTCCTGCATGTGGAGTCCAGACGACACTCTCGGGTGTCATCTTCAGAAATATCCTAGGAGCCAGGGTCTTGCACTGGCTCAGCGTTCACCAATTAGGCTGGTTTGGCTGGCCCGTAAGCTCCAGTCACCATCTTTGGTGCTGCCATTGGACTTGACACTTTTACATGGGTTCTGGGTCAAGCTTGGGTCCTTATGCTTGCAAGACAAGTGTTTTGTCAATTAAACTATCCTGGCTCTCGGAATTGAGTTTGGTAGAATTTCTAAACATGGTCCAGTAAAACGTTTCCCTTATCTAGCTCTAATAGTTAAGCATACTGAAGAGATCTTCATGTAGAACATTTTCCTATCATTTATGAGATATTGCTGGCATGTTATTTTTTGTTACTTCCCTTTAAAGCATGCCATTTTTGATTGGTTACTGGCATATATATTATTTAATTTCTATGTATCAAGTATTCAATAATCTCACTAAAGTAATTTTATCAGTACACATTAATTTTCTGGGCATTCCATTCATATCATTTTTGAGTAAGTTTTCCTTCCAGCCTTTAAAGCCCTTTTCTTTACTGTACTTGCTAGTTCAATGCTAAATAATGGTAATTACAGATACCTTTGTCTTTTGCCTGATCTCAAAGGGAGAGTTTCCTTATTTTATAATTTAAGAGCTTCTGTAGCCTAAATCTATTTTTTTGATGGTGCTGGTAATTGAAACAAAGAGTTCATGTGTGCTAGATAAGCTAACCTACATACCTCAGACATGTTTTGAGATATCCTTCACCATGTTCAAAAAGCCAATCTTCTTTTTGCTCAAAATTTGCCTCGATTTTATTTAAATGGAAATATATATTAACTTTTAAATATTTTCTGCATTTATTGACATCACTTCTACTTTGATCTGTTAGTGTAATTACAATAAGCTTATCAAAGTTACCCAGAATAAATTTATCCTTTGTACATTCTGTATTTTGATAGTATTTTATGCACTTTAAACCTCCATGCAAATGTCCTTTGGTTCTCTTTGCTCCTGCTACCTGGTTTTTGGAGTGTGTATATGCCTTCATAAAATGATTTGTGTTTACCTTTCTCTATTCTGGTCAAGTATGCAAATAGTTATTTTCTTTATACAATTTTCAAGACTTCATTGGTGAAGCTATTGGGGCCTGAACTTTTTAATAGGGAATATTCAAACATGGATTCAGTTTACTTGTTTCAAAAATCTATTTTGTATTTCTATTTGATTCAGTTCTTATAATTTTTTTTTTCTCAAAAAGCAGTGCTTGCTGCTGCAGTAATGCTCTAGGAACACATCTATTTTTTTACCTTCCATTTTTTTTCATGAACTCATGAAACGATCCCCTTCCCCAAGTCATGTTTTCTGTTTTTTATGCTTCTTCCCTTTCTTTCTTTTTGGTTTTTTGAGACAAGGTTTCTCTAGTTTTTTTGGAGCCTATCCTGGAACTTGCACTTGTAGACTAGGCTGGCCTCGAACTCACAAAGGTCCGCCTACCTCCATCTCCTGAGTGCTGGGATTAAAGGCGTGCACTACCACCACCCGGCTTCTTCCCTTTCTTTTTTAAAAAATTATATTTTATTTTTTTTGAGACTGGGCATTGATACATAACTTAGTCTGGCCTTGGCCTCAGTCCTGCATCAGCTTCCCAAGAACCAGGACTGAAGGTGTTTGCCACCATACCCAGCTTTTCTTGTTTAGAGAGTTGGAAGATGAACTTCTGCTCAGTCTGTGATCTTTAGCTGATGAGAAAGTTATGACCACAAAAACAATGAATACGTTAGGTCACAGCAAGAAGCAAGTCAATCTCCACCCTGCCATGCAGACAGTACCCTATTATTATTATAACTCTTGAAAATAGCTCCTGAAAGTTTACTCAAACAAACGGAAGAAATAACATTTAAAAATTTGACACCAAATGTTGACACCATGAATTGTTTTATTTTTTTTATTTTTTTATTTTTTTTGATTTTTGAGACAGGGTTTCTCTATGGCTTTGGAGCCTGTCCTGGAACTAGCTCTGTAGACCAGGCTGGTCTCGAACTCACAGAGATCCGCCTGCCTCTGCCTCCCGAGTGCTGGGATTAAAGGCGTGCGCCACCACCGCCCGGCTGAATTGTTTTATTTTAATGCCTTGGAAAGAGAGGTACTATAACCCTGTCTGTTTGAATAGCAAATTACGGTCATATTTCACTGCAGAGCAAGTTAGGTTTATTTCCCACTTGAAACTATTTGAGGCTCCTGAGCTGTAACAAAAACCTGTCTGTGTAGTATCTAGCTGAGCCCCTTCTTGCCTTCCTGAGCTGTGGGAGCAGGCCCTATAGACAGGAAGCTCCTATCTCCTTCTGTTACAAGCCTCACGTCTTCTGCTAGCATCCATGGAGCTATGACAAGTAAACTTGGAGTCCTTCCCATAGAACTCTTAAAACAGGGAGCACTTTAACATGCTTGAGTACAGCAATCATACAAGTCCAAAGCCCTTCAGTACAAACTCTTATTAATTTTAATTTCTTTCTTTCCATATTAGTGCCGAGTTTCATGAGCGGCTAAGTAAAATTGATAAGCTTAAGAACAGATATGAAATTCTTACTGTTGTCATGCTGCCTCCTGAAGGAGAAGAGGAGAAAACACAGGCCTATTATGTAATAAAGGTAACGTTTACCTGAACATCTGATTGTATGAAATACACACATACATACATTCACACCTCAAATGTGCAACAACTAAACTTAGTCTAGGTTTTATCAGAAATTATTCATGGCACAAGTGGAGAAAATAGTGTGCTGCTTCTGCAAGGATGCCAGTTCTGCTGGACTGAGGCCCGCCACACTGACAATCATCTTGACATCTGCAAAGGCCTGACTCCTGAAGGAGGTCACACTAAATTACTAGGTGTTGGGACCTCAGCACATCTCTCATGGTCACAGTAGCTCCTAGTATTGGTCCTGCAGCAGCCTTTGGCCTGTGTGTGAGGCATACCAGATTGTTTTCCATGTTTCAACTTTAATGTCTCTTTCTGCTTAAAAGCAAAACTGGAAAATATCCTTTATATTTCATTCCTAAGATGCTAAGTCTTTATAAGTCAGTAGTCTTGTTCTGACCCAAGTTGAGTGCTACTATCCAATAAAGGTATTTTAAGAAGCTGTGATATTAAGGTTATCTGTTTCAAAATACCAACTTTCCAACCCCAAATAAAATGTACATTATAAATATAAAAAATCTGATTTACCTACAGAGGTAACAATCATTTTAGGATTTAAATGTACACCTAGAATTAAGTCAGGAATAAATAAAGGAAGAACAAATTAAACTAATTCAAAGAATGAACTGAGCTTAGAGAAGGGACCTTCACTAAAGTTACTCAACTGTCACGTACAATGTCTCACTCATCCCAGCTTTCTCCCACCACACTATTTTATTCAACTGAAACAGCAGATCTGATTTTTTATCATTTTGTTTTGGCTATATGTGACACATACCTATTGCGTGTGTTTCTACGTTAGTTTGATGTTTCCATACGTGTACATGGTTAACTCAGGGGTAATCACATCTCATGTATCATCTTTGAGGGTTTATTATGTAAATGTTAAAGGTTCAGTTGCTAGTTGGTAATTTTTTGGGAAAGTACTGGTTCCTGAGAATAATAACCTCATCAGTGGATTAAGTCATTGATATTTAATTCAGTGGAATATCTATGTGGGAGGTGGTAGGGCCTAGGCAGAGGAAGCAGGTCACTGGAGGCATTCCTTGGTAAGGTTTATATTGTCCTTTGCTTCCTGGCTAGCAGAGTGAGCAGCTAGGGTTTAACCATACACACATACTGTCCTGCTTTAATACAGGCCAAAAACAACCAAATGAAGGATGACACCTCTGATACTGAGCAAAAACTGTGGGTTTACTTCTTTATGCCAAGTGTTTGCCACAGCTGACAAGCAGTATATGTTACAAAAGTATGTGGAACTCATGTTAAAAATGCCAGTCAAAATATAAAGTATGGGGCTGGAGAAATGGTTCAGTGGTTAAGATCACTGTTCTTGCAGAGTACCAGAGTTTAATTCCCACACCAAGAAGCTCACAACTGCTTGTAACTCCAGTTCTAGGGATACTCCTAATCTCAAGAGCATGCATATATGCAGACATACACACATACACATAAATAATAATGAAAAAGATAATGAGAACAGCTTTCTCAACTTGATTTAAAATATGCATATCTAGTGTCTGAGGAAGACTCTGACTTAATACTAAGCCTTAAATACATACCGATGCTATTCTGTCAACCTCAGAGTTCTTGGGAATTGTAGAGAATGTTGATGGAGCCTATCACAGAGAAGTTACCTTTGTAAAAGTTCACTGTGTAGGAAACTTGGATTTTTTAAAGCATTTACAGTAATTTATAGTAGTTTCCTAGCTACATTTATTATAAGTACTACTATCAATTGTGCAGTTATCTTCAAAATTAAAAAAAAATTCTTTATGTGTAGGTGTGTGTGTTTACACACCAAGAGCATGTACCCAAGGCCAGAGATGTTAGATCTCTTCAACTGGAATCACAGGTGGTTGTGAGCTGCATGGTATGGGTATTGGGAACCAGAACTGGGTGCTCTGGGAGAGTAGCAAGTGCTCTTAACTGCTGAGCCATCCCTCAAGCTCCAAAGTTATCTTTTAAGTTGTAACAAAATATATTAGAAAATATACACACATTGTTTTCCTGGGTATATGGTTACCTTTTACCCTTATCTGAATCATATAAGAATCCAGTTCCCAAAGTTCTGTCAAACCAAAATACTCTTTTGATTTACTTAATTTCAAGACCTTCTTTGAGTCACCCCATTTATCTTCCTAGAGATCTAGTAGCTGCTTAGCTATCCCCAACCCCCATCACTCACCCTTCCTCCTGGTGTTTTATATAAGCACTGGCTACATTTCCACCATGGTTTTGTATCCCATATATATGCTGTATCGTGGGATTTGGTCTTGTGTTTTAAACTGAATACAAGAAGTAAATGCCTGGTAAGCATGTGCAGGTCCTAAGGTAAGTAGAGATTGCTGTGAATGAACTGCTATCTGTTTCAATGCAATATCCCCAGTGATAAATAATGGCAGCATTGTTCTGTATTTTATAGGCTGCTCAAGAAAAGGAAGAACTTCAGAGGGAAGGTGACAGCTTGGATGCTAAGATCAACAAAGCGGAAAAAGAAATCTATGCTCTGCAAAACACCCTGCAAGTACTCAACAGCTGCAACAACAACTATAAGCAATCTTTCAAAAAAGTGACTCCATCAAGTAGGTGTCAGTCACTGCGAGCAACGTGGTGGAGGCTGCAGTTAATGGAGAGGAGGAACACTAGTCGAAAATGTGCCATGATTGAGCCTAAAGAAAAAATCAATAATGCACCTTCCTGATTGTTTTAATCAGTATTAGGTGTGATTTACATCAGTAGTTTTATTGGTATATGGCATATCTTCTTTAGGAATTCATTTTGAATCTGAAAAATATTGCTGCTATATCCTAAGAAATGTCTACTATACATATCTATACTGTTTTTCACATGGATCTAAGACATTTAACCTTTCATAAGTGGTTTATTTTGTTAAAGTGGCTTTCTACATATTATACTGGAATTTAAAATTCTTTTGTAGGTGATGAGTATGTAATAAAAATTCAACTAGAAGAACAAAAAAGGACTGCAGATGAGAAATACAGATACAAACAAAGGCAAATGAGAGAACTTCAAGAAGACATCCAGGTGAATTCTGTAGTTTTTTTAGTAATTAGCCATAAGTAAAGGGCAACTGCCATCATTACTACTCAATCCTGTATGAAAAGCATCTTCAGGGAAGCAGACCATAAGAAACATACACCTCACTTAAAAACAAGTTAAGGAAACATTTAAGTAAATCAGTTAAAATCCTATTGCTGGGTGCCAATAACTTTATTAGTTATCAACCACATCTAGACAATTATGACTTATTCACTAACCATTACTAAGTGACCTTACTGAATCACTTAAAGAGCACAATAAGATTTAAAAAACAAAATTTAAAACAGAAAATCTAGTGACAGTAGATACTAGAACAAACCTCTCAAAGACTGAAGAACATGCTTCAGTAAGTAGGCCCTAACTAAGGGAACAGATGACACACAGCATGCATCTCTGGATAATTTCAAGTAACTGTTTCTATTTTTTCCAGTTCTATAAAAAGTTCCAAGTGGAATTATATTCAAAACTAACAGTGTCATTAGACTTCTTATCCATTAATACTCTAAACATAGTATATATATGTATATATATAAGCAGATACAATAATTAAAATTGAGGGACCATCTGGCAATTGGCAATTTAGTCTTTTTTATTCTGATCATGAATGTGTTGATATTTTGTTTTCTACAGAGTATGGAAAATACTTTTGAAGTCATAGAACACTTAGCAAATAATATCAAAGAGAAATTATCAGAGAAACAAACTCATTCCCTTCAACTGCGCAAAGAGACTGAGGAGCAGCAGCCGAAATTAGAACGCGTGACTAAGCAGGTAGTTTCTTAGAGCTGTCCCTAGCATTCACTTCTGTCATGTACCAAATGCACTCATCCCCCTTCCCTGAACTTGGTGGAATTTAGGTTTAATATTTGACTGTTATTATTAACAGTGTGGAAGACTCAAAAGAGAAATCCGCATTGTGAAAGAGACGAATGACGAAACGCTAGAAGAGCAAGACATTCAACTCCGTGAGATTAAACAGTTTCACAAGGACATTGACCAAATGTTAGTCAATGCCATGGAAAATGCTGAGATGCACATTATCCTTCAAACATACTTTGAGCAGGTAATAGAGCATATGTCTGTGTATCTGATTAGTTTTCGTCTACAATGTTGCAGGACTAATGATAGTTTATTATTACAATATGATATTCTTCCAGAATGGGTTAGAACTACCCACAGTTAAAGGCCCAAGCTCCAGATCCTCTTCACAGTCTTCCCTGCGGTCAATCAGGTAAGGGCAAGCTTACTCAAGTGGGGGGGGGGGGCTCAACTCTCAGGGCTGCTGCTGACCAGCATGCTGCTCACTCTCCTCACCTCAGCAACCTCACTATGCAAGCACAGCCTAGCAAGACTCCTGCACCTGCCAACCTTGCAGGCATACTCATTGTAACTAGTAAGCTATTTTAGGGGAATGAGGGTGGGTGAAAATTGAGGTGATATAGCTAACATTTTGGGCAAATTCTGAGAAAATTTAAATCTTCTGAAACTGTAAAAGGGCAAGTTAGACGCACAGTTTTGTAATCAGAGCTGCTCATGTGAAATCCTATGTAATCAGCTTTTATTTGTGGTTGTCTTACTTAGCTTAATGCAACCCAAAAATTAGTGGGATAAATCATGGACACTAAGTCTTTGTTGACTTTTAGCTAATTTTAGGATTTCTAATCTCCTACAGTTGACAGCTATTTACTAGTTTTTATTAGTCTGTGAAACTTTCATGAAAACTAAACAAAGCATCCTCAAAGACAGTATTTTAAGTTTAATAACCTGCTTCTACATATTTTAAGCCACTCAATATATTTACTATTACATATTAAATTTTCTGTACTTTTTTATAAAACATTATTTTAGAACCAAATTATTTACTATTACATATTAAATTTTCTGTACTGAAACTTTTTACGTTTAGAAACTGATTACGGTTGAAAATAACTTGCTCACAGAAACTATTGAACTATTTAATTAAACTATGTTCATTTCTTCTTTTGAAAGAATGGTCATACTTTTAAATTTTATTAACATTAATGGTTTTTCTTGTTCTTTACTTATGGAATTATGATACTTTTTTGCCAATTAGATCTTTTAAAAGTACATTTTGCATTAAGTTTACAGTAAATCCTTTCTTGTTTTAGGTCGCTTGAGGACACAATTTCTCCTGTTTCTCCACCTTCAGTTAAAGTATTACAGCTCAGCTTCCCAGAATCTCCAACAGGAAGCAGTAGTTCTAGATCAGCTAGTAATGGCAGTAATTCAAGTACTCCAAAAGGAAAAAAGCCCAGCAAATGATTTTTTTTAATCTCTTGTACAAATTTTGAACACAAATGAAAATCTCATTAAGTCTTCCTTTTTCTGGGGTTCCATTTATTAACGATATAGGCCTACTAAAATAGTATTGGAAGTACTGCAGACCAGACAAAGGAGCCCCCTCCCCCCTCATAGAGAAGGAAACTGCAGAACCTTAGGCAGGCCACACGTGATTAGGCAGAGGGAAATCAGTTTTTTTTTTTTTTTTTTTACTAGAACACTGATGTCTATAGTGTTAGATGTTTTATGAAGTCACACATATATGAAGTAAGATTCTTTCAGGAATACACTTCTAAAGAGTCACTGCATATCTCAATAAGGAAATTTTCATTTACTCTAAATCACAAAATTACTTTTTAAAATTAAAAACAAAAAGCAAACAACAACAATATTCCCCTATTCTTTTTCCCGAGGGTAACACACACCTACCTGTTAAAGGCCTTTTATTGCGGGGGGGGGGGGGGGGTTGGGGTGGAGGGTGGTGGTGGTGGTTTTAATTTGTAACGAAAGACAGCATCATTAACATTTATACTCCCTCGGTAGGAAAAGCATTGTATATGTATATATGTGTGTGTCCATATATACTTATCCCTATATATGTATACATAAGTTGCTGTCTCTATTCTGATCTTGAAAAAACTGAACATATTAAATTTACAATGGAGGTAGATATTGCATATTATATTTAAAATTAGTTTTTCCAGCACTTTGAACTTTTTGGATGAGAGTGTGAACTACTACTATAAAGCTAGATTTAAATACATTAGCATTCAGGTAGATAAAGGAGCATATCTTTAAACCTTGGGAAAAATACTCATTACAAGAGTGATTGTCTTAGACCCACTACTCAGTTACTACTGAAAAAGCAGTAGTGTTAGTAAATCTGTTTCTACTGATGATCGCTTTTAATTCAGAACAGGAAGGTATAGTTAAGTCTAATAACTGAAATGGCAAAGAAAATTGTGGGCACTTTATAGTTGAATGCTGCCAAAAGCGTATGACGTTTAATCCATCATCATTTTGTTTACCAATATTGGGATTCTCAGTCATATATTACTTTGTAAGTTATTAGGAACTTAAAACATTAAATTTGGTGTTATATGAAGGCAAGGGTTTTGTTTCTTACTAGGAGGCTTACTTTTCTATGCTTTTTTCCTTGTAATACAAGGATGGTTAACTTATCAGGTCTTATTGAAGTAACATAAGATATAAGCAAAACATACTGGCTTTGAAGCATAGTAATTGTACTTTAAGTAGTTAATTTCTACCTATGGAGTTACTTCTAGCCCCTAGTCTGCAATGCCCAGCATCCACATTTATATTACTAAAACCGCATATAATAATGCTAAATGGCAAGACAAAGGATCAACCTGTTTACAGATCTGGAGTTATCTGAACACCCAGAAGTCACAGGACAAAGCTAACCGGGGTAAATATACACTATGGACATAGTAATGTGGAAGAAACTACTGAAGCCACCACTGAGGATCAATTAAAATCCGCAATATTTTTTCCTGTGATGACTCCTTAAATAACCCAAGGAACTGGATGCTTAGATTAGTGCAGACTGCTTAAATTAGTATGTCTATTCCTATTAAGAAAGATGTAATCCTATTAGGAAGCCTGTAGTTTCCAAATTCTGACAGCCTACTCCACAAGGCACTCTCCTAAGGGTTAAGTAAGATATTATGTGTAAGAGTATAAGGTGTACTAGGAATTCTCAAAGATAAAGTAGCGTGCAGGGAGGTGTTTCTACTTTTTAACAACAACAAACTCCCACTATGGAGGACTAGATAGGACTAAAACTGGAATGATTACTACATTGAGCACGCCTAAGAGTTCCTCGGGGCTGGGCTGTCAAAATGGCTCTGTGGATAGAGTACTGTCTGTCGAGCCCAAGTGTGACTCCTGGGACCCATGAGGTAGAAGAGAACTGACTCCCTCAAGTTGTCCTCCCATCTCCACATATGTAGCACACACGCTCACTGTTTTCCCTGCCCAATAATAGTGATAATGAGTTCCTTGGTACAGAAACTAACATTGAAGTGATTCTCCAATTTCTGCTGCCATTATTTATTGTTCTTAATCAAGGTTTTTCCTATTGTGTTTTTACAGTAGTTTTCTATCACTATAATTTGGTACAAATAGTATATATCATTACTAAAGTTTTAGTATTTTACTGGTATAAACAAACATGCAATTAGTCCTCTTTTCCTGCCACTCCCTCATCTTCCTCATGTTATGTCTGTGGTGTGCTGTGGATAATACTCTTGTACACTGTAAAGATTTGTCTCTCATATTGGATTAATAAAACTCTGATTGGCCAGGCAGGAAGTATAGGCGAGACATCCAGAAGCAGAAGAAGCACGATGAGAATGCTTGAGAAAAGGTACCAAACTACATGGCTAAACACGTGTAAGAATTATGGGATAATTTTAAGTTATAAAAGCTAGAAGTAATAAGCCTGGGCAATAAGATACACAGTTTATAATTAATGTAAGACTCTGTGTGCTTCTTTGGGACTGAATGGCTGCAGGATTGGGCAGGACAGAAACTACCATCTACAGTTGTGGATCCTATCCAATGACCAAGAAGAGATTAAAATCTCATTGCCATTTACTTTTTCTTTTTTTTCCTGTGTAGCTTTGGTGCCTGTCCTGGAAGTAACTCTGCTCTTGTAGACCAGGCTGACCTTGATTGAACTCTGAGATCCGCCTGTCTCTGTCTCCTGAGAGCTGGGATTAAAGGCGTGTAATCACTGCCACCTGGTGCTTATTTACACTTTCTAGAAGGTTAATTGAAGAGCATCATAAGTACAACAGCTATGATACCTACTAATATCTCCCAAGAGTCCACTATTCAATTTTTAGTAATTCAGAGATGTTCTCTGGCAGTCTAAGATTCCTTCGTTAGCTGTTTGTGTGTACTGTGTTTGTGTATGGCTGTCAGAGGACACGCACTGGGAGTCAGTTCTCTCCCTAGGCCTTGAGTCTTAGGACTGTACTCAGGTCATCAGTTTGGATAGTCTTTTATCTACTGAGCCATTGCAGAGGCCTAGAACTGATTCTGTCCTTCGCTATGATTCAGAGAAAAGACATCAACAGAGAAGGTAATAGAGTAGAAGAAGAGGGAACTTCAAGCCAGCCCTCCACTATTTAGAAACATGCCTACTGACTTCCCAAGCATTTGCGAGGTTAAGACAGAAGGCGACCAGATTCACAGGGTGCTTCTCTGCTGCTATTTTTACTAGCAGTTATTTCCTATTCTCATCTGTCTTGTCTATAATTCCCTAAGAATTTTGTAAATACTTAAAGTTAAAATTTTTCTTATGAACATAACCATTAAGTAAAAATAATAATGGAGAAATAAGTAAAGCAGGCTCTGATTAACCAACTTTCATGGTCTTATTCTTAAGGTATTTTGTTAAAGCTGGGAAAAAAACAATTTTCACAAACCATTTATATCAGGTGTTAGAGGTAAATCAAGTCATAATTTATCACTTAAAAATGAAATGGTGCAAAAATTTTAATGCTTAAAACAAATGACTTAAAATAGTACCGTTGAGACATTTAGCCATAAAATATTTCCCCTCAGAAGCTAAGGGCTTTTTAACAAAAGAGAATGAAGTACTTTTTGATAAAACAATCCAACTCTTCAACGTAAACGTATTTCTCTCCAACAGCGAAATATGATAGGCACAGGGTTCTCACAAACCCCAAACATGAAGAAACAAAGTGCTCAGAAATAGCTTTAGGAGAAAAGCTTAGACTGCCAGAATGAGTTACATCTGCACAGACCCACACTCCTGCATCACTGACTATGGCGAGGACTGATAACTGAAACTGAGAAACTTCTTGTAATTTGGTACAATTTTAGATCCAGAACCGTTTGTTAGATTAAAGCATCCCCAAACTTCTAAAAACTTAGTGAAAATTTTCTAAGCAAATTATTTTTTTGGCTTATTTCCTTTTTCTTTCTCAAATTCTGCTATCTGATTGAATATATTGAGTAAATTCTGAGGTAAATTTTTCTTCACTCTGCTTTCTGGCTGCTCTCTGCTAGTCAGGGTCTCTTCTGGAGCCTCGGCTCTGTCCCCCTCCCCACAGCTGTCCTTGTCATACGCACGTTCTCCTTGACTTGTATTTAACTGATATCTTGCCTCATGTCTACTGTCACGTGATCCAGAGTAAGTGTATTTTTTGTGTTTTTCAAGTGACTTCCAAGAGTAGTCTGAACTTGCTGGTGAAGCAGAGTACTTCACAGACCCCGGCTCCCACCTTCTAGAGTGGTCTTTTCTTCCCTCTGAGTCCTTTTCACATCTCCTGTAACTAGATGCTTTCATCTTGTCCTCTGAATTCCTACAGAAGGAATCCAAGGAATTTCTCCTATTGGAGAAATATTTTTCTGATTTATATGGCTTTTCAGTTTTGCTACTACCTGCGTGGGTTTTATAGCTATTGTAGAAATCTCGTGTGTCTTCAGACCTACCTCCCAAGTCATCTGGCACTTCAGCTGAAGATGTGAGAAGGCATCGCTCTTTCTCTTTTACCTGTGTGCTTGGACACTGTAACCTATCCTGTTTTTCCAGCAGTTTCTCCACTTCTTGTTTTTGATTAAGGAAAGATGCTGAAGTATTAGTTGGAACTGGGTAGCAGTCATCTTTCCTATTCTGATCTATGTGACTCAAAGATGTCTTAGACCAGTGCCTCTTTGAACTGCGAGAAGACTCTGAGCGATTCCTCTTACTTTTCTTATGCCGTTTGTGACTAGAAGAGGAAGAAGATGAGGAAGAAGAAACGGATTCATCAGCAGAAGAAACACTTGAAGAGGAAGATGATGATTTTCTTCTTTTCTTCTTTAGCCTTAAAAAAAAAGCAGTTAGCTCATGAGACATGTTAAGTACAAAAATGCTATCCAAATATCCTCAAGATCTGACTTTATTCTGTATCCCTTGAAGATGTTCTACAAGCTGTCACTCAGACACAATAATCTCAATTACTGCATTAAGTTTCACCATGAAGCATGACATCTGAGACTGTCTACGGAGACAGGTGTCACTTCAGGCAAACCCACAGCTTCTGAAAGATGCAGTGACTTTTCTCCATTGCTTATGCCCTCCTGCACATGCAGGAAGCAACCCGAGTTCCCTATCTAGCTCCCAGTAGTTTCACCACGTTTCCCTCAGCACTATGGACATTTTAGTGTCAAACGATTCTTTACTGAAGGTAGGAGCAGACACTGTCCTGTGCACTGCAGGACATTTAACTGTCCTCTACACACTAGATGCTAGTATTTTTCCACAACTTACAACAGCTACAGACCAAACCACCAGTCTAGGAACCACAGCTCCTCTTCTAAAAGCCTATATCCCAGGAACAGTAATTTAGTCTACATTTTAATCCTTATTTTTAAAAAGAATTCTAAGCTTAGACTCTGCTTAATTTCTTTCGCAGACAGACATGTGGAACATATGCTTGCTAAGAATTATCACTTGAGATACTTTTTTTTTTTTTACTTACTTTACCTCCATATGGCACTTTGGTTTCAACTCAGTAGTTTTAAGTTTAAAATACTGAATATTATAGTTTACCTTTTCTCCTCTTTTAAGAGCTTACGCAACTTTTCTGCACTTGTTTCTATTTTCTTTGTTTTCTGCTTTTCTTCCTTTTCAGCTTGTTTTTCTCTTAATTCCAAAGATTTCTTTTAGAACCCAGATATCGGAAAAAACCACACGTTAAAAATAAAAGTAGCAGGATATACAAAAAACAGTATTTAAAAGACCACCCCCCCAACCAAAAGCCCAATTTAGTATAGACAAATCACCATACAGCCAGTATTAAACAAGTTATTTTTTCCAAATAAAAAATTAATGACAAACATTGGGCATTAATCATTTGAATGGCCAGAACAGTATTGAGGACCATATTGCAGATGGTATCCCAAGAAAAACAGGGAAACCATTGCAGTAGCACCAATGACCCAGAATGCAGGGAAGATAAAAAAAAGATGAAAAATTATTTTTGAAAATTGAAAAATGTAAACAGGACACCAATTTTACAAATAAAATTCAAATAAGGACATTCCACAGAGGTGAATTGAGGGGAAAATCACCATGTTCAAATACAAACCATTTTAAAAATAGCACAGGCCAGTTGGATGCATGATTACATAAGAAATCATTTTCCAGTTTGTGGATGGGGATGAGCAGCACCAGATGTCACAGACACAGCAGCAATGGTCCAATTCAGAAGAAAATGCATGAGAAAACATCATCATCAGTATTACAGGAAAGGACAAGTGAAAAATGTCTACAAAGGTTTGCATAATTAGCTCAATTAAACCAGCAATACTCGTAATCTTATAACCACCCAGTAAGCTCTCTACAAAGGGGAGCAATCAAAATCACACACTGAATTTAAGCATAAGCATTCTCTTACAGGGTATTTCTACTCTTGAGTACAAACAAAAAAGCAGACGTATTACAATGCAATGTCAAACCTAGTTAGGAGAAGCTATTCATTTTCCTAATAGTTCATCTAGATAACCTAGTTTTTCCTAAAAGAATATGACATTTTGCATTAATTTTAAGCATCATTAAAACTTCAAAGAGGAAATAAAGAATCACCTGCATATACTTATGAAGTTTCTGCAAAGCATCCTCTGCGTCTTTAAAAGTCTCATCCAAAGCCAGAGCTTTCTTATAGTAACTTTCAGCATTTAAAAACTTTTCTTCTTCTTCTAACCTATTAGGAAGATACAACATTTTGTAAAAATTTATCCACGTACATACAGAAGAGGCTTATGACAGAACTCAGAGGAAAATTGTGTTTAGCAAATTATTTTCTAATTACCTACTCATGTGCTTACTTAGTAAAAAGACAACTTACATAAGATGGTTTTTTTAAAGTAGTTATGAAGTTTTCCTTTCTATGGAAAAGTTTTCACTGGAAATCCATTAAATTTGGGAATTCACACACACAGTTGTAGATATCATTTACAATCATTATCATATAATCTACAAGTCTATGCTGTGAAAAACCCAAATTAGAATGTTTGGGTGGGTGTGGTGACATACATCTGTTATCCCAGTGCTTGGGAGGCAAAGTGGGAGAAAGTTACCCTGGCTAATATGACCTAAATAGCAAGTTCCAGGTCAGCCAGGGCAACAAAGAAAAAGGAAGTTTGGATATAGGGCATTGAAAGGACTTTACAAAGTACTTCTGTAGGAAGGAAAAAATTATTACTGCAAAAGAAATGGGATTACTTTTCTGTCGTAGACTGAATGTAAAGAGCTGAGGGACAAGACTTGTGGTTTGGATAACTAGTTACTGTAGCCATTCGCTCAGCTACAAGATCCCAACACTCCAAGAATAAGACGACCTCATTTCAGTGGTACTACTTATTTACTTGTGACAATGAAAAATCTTTTCCAGTCACTAACCGAAATCTCATTAATTTGTGGGCATTCTCATCCTACAAATACTTGGAAGGAATGCTCATCCAAGCAAGAATGGCCAGGCACAAGATATATGATATAGACGAGATCAAACGTTCTTCAATAATAGCAGAGGGCTAGGGATGCAGCTCACTGTCACAGTGTTTGCCTGGCATGTTTGAGATACTCTGGATTCTATTCCCAGTATTACAAAAAGAAAAGCAGCAGATGGTCTTATCAAAACATTTCATGGCTTTTAGTTATTAAGGTGAATGCTGTCTATTTGAACATGGCCATGAATGAAGTTGTGCAAGATTTCTGAGAACTTATGAGAATACTCCAAGTCAACAAGACAGGACTTCTGTAACCTTGTTCCTCTGTACCAGGGATTGTACATGTGCTTCTATGCCCTTCCCAGGAGTAGTTCATAGGAGTGGGTTTACTTCAGACTTCCTGTTGCCTCTTTTGTTACTGAAAATGTTTTCACACATGGGTTGCCCTAGTGACTGTACCTAAACCCATACAACCCTGCCTATCTCTCAAAATACCCTCAGATTATAAACTGTCTGATCCTCTGAATAAAGCTGGCTCTTGCACGAGACAATTTTATTATTGCACGTCAATTTTAGGCTCCACTCTCCCAGGTTCAGGCCACCAACTAGAGTGGCAACACTGCCAAATACTTCTAACTCCACATTTAATCTGAATTTGCGGGGTTTACCAGACAGAGCAGAGCTACAAGCTGAATATAACAGCAGAGTCTTAATCACAATTTACTAGAACCGCTCAATTCATATCTACAATATTACATACTATTACAATAAACAGATTTAAAAATTAAACCCTTTATTAGAACAAAATCTTTTGGTATATACTCTGGACTAGAGCACTTATTCTCTTATAATTTTTAATTTATATTTCTATGTAACAAAAACATACATTCAGAGCGATTAACCACGAGTATCTCCAGAGAGAGAGACAGACAGACAGACAGACACACACTCCCACTCACCCTCAAAAAGGCAGGAAAAAGGGACCAAAAGGCCACCTGCCCCACCCAAAACTGAAAAAGAGTACTTTAAATTACATGGCACTATAGGAGTTGGTTGCAAGTTGGACTTTTACTATTACTAAATGAAATCCCATACTTACTGCCCTCCCCTTTCTACAAGAGTCTGGCAGAGGTATTTTCTTGCATTCCTGTGAGTTGGGCAGTTTTCTAATGCTAGCTCAAAATCTTCTATTGCTTTGTTCAAACTTCCTTTTGTTGCATACCTAGAGACATTAAACAAAATTAGAAAAATTTAATCTTGTGACCTACTTAAACATTTTTCACATTCTTAGAAATATTCCTTAAAATCCAAAGTTAACTTACAATGCTCCACGAGCTACCAGAGCTTCCACATTTTGTTTGTCTATTTCCAGAGCTTTATTGTATTCGTTCATAGCATCCACATGTCGTCCAACCTTAAAATAATCGACCCCAATCTTCACACTGAAAACACATTTATAAAACATTGCAAATATTTCACAAAGTATCTAATAAATAAAATGTTAGTATAGATGATTATTAAAAGAAAATGCCTTTAAATTGGACAAATACTTAGTTTTCAAATTATTCTTGTATACTTAAAAAGCACCCTGCTTTTATAGATTCTCATAGCAAACATTTATGAAACTTAGATATCAAGACACTAATTCTTCCTGGAAAACAATCTGAGTAAAACTTAACTCTGATAGGATGTCAATATTAAGATCAATATAATACCTATACAAATAATGCTCAAGGTTTTCATGCATTTGTAAATACAGTCTAGTTTTAATGGCGATGAAAGAATGCATGCCCGACCAGAACTTTCACACTGGGTAACTGCCACTTTTAGACAAAACAACCTCCATACCATTTTAAAGCCCAAGATGCTGACTGCTTCTTTCTTAAAGCCAAAGCAAAATCATCTTCAGAGAAATTTTTGCTGTGAATGAAAAAGCGAGTCAATAAACACTTTAAAAGTACAGTTCATTCTATCTCTGATACAGACTCAACAGTGACATGGTGACTACTACTGGTCGTAGTTCTGTTCTTAAGCACATCCACAAGCTTCTGGACCTTCTCTACTTGTCTATGGCACATCCTATGATTGCTTAAGCCAGATTAGGAACAGACACAATTGCTTACTTTAGCCAATCTTCGGCACCGTCTTGTTGCTATGGCCAAATATGTTCTGCAGCTATTCAGCTTCTGAGCTACTCCATTCCCCTTACCACTTAAGAGAATGCAATTATACTTTTACCTTTGTAGGCCTCTCATTAATGATGGTGGATGAGATTCATCTATTCCTAGTTTCTCTAGAAGGAATTCAACTACTCCTGGATTAACAAATCCCAGAGAACTCTGCATGATATTTTCATAGGACTCCAAAGAATTACTATTTAGTTCAACACTCCTCCTTAAGGGGGAAAAAAATGAGAAACACAAACACATGAGCATAACAATTAGCAAACCCTGCTTCTACTAAAGACATTACTTTATGAAGTTTAAATACTAATACACCAAGCCTACAATAATGGGGTTTATAAAAACAAAACCCCACTTAACAATAAAAAAATTATAGTTATACTTTGTTAGGGGTACATAAAAGATAAATACCTGTAGTACAAAGGTAGCTCTTCAGAAGTAATCACACCTAGTTTAATGTCAGATAGGTGTGGTGGAAGAGATGAGCTGTACAGAGATACTGCAAGCTTTTCATGGTATCTGTCAATATCCTTGATTCCAGCTTTTAAAAAAAATAATAAAAAAAGTGAAAACAAAACTAAGCTTTTCAAACGTTACCTTCTTATATTTTCAACATTAATTTGATAATTTTAATTAGTATGTTGAAACTGATCACCTCGAATTATGTCACCAGTTTGGTAATACGATAAAGGATCTCCATGGTTACTGTGAGAAGGCACATCTCTTAAGGGACAAAGAGCCTGCAAAGAGAAGTATTTGAAAACACCATACATTTCACTCAGACCACAACAGTAGCTCCTTTTACCTCAGCTTTTCATTATGACTGGGTAAATCTTCATATGAAAATTAATAACCCTAAAGTCTAACACTATTTTCTTTTTAATGAATGCATAATTATACATGTTTACAGGGTAAAATTATATAATATTTACAGGGTGGCAATTCAATACACATATGCAATGTATAATTATCCTATTATTTTAGTGTAATAGAAATACAACATTTGTTGTGTTTATCTTCGAACTTTCTCATTATAAAACTTCAGTCACAGTACTGTGCTCTAGAATACTTTTCCCCTATCTAATTTCACTAAAAATAGGGTCTTTCAGTTCCATTCATTTTGCCACAGATGGCATAGTTTCATTCATTTTGACGGCTTTTATGCATTTACTAACAGACATGTCAGTTACTTAAACTTAACATCTGTAGTTACAATTTGTGTCCAAACACAATAAAGTTTTTTTTTCTAGGTTTTTTTTTTTTTAAATATGGAACGCTTCACGAGTTTGCATGTCATCCTTGTGCAGGGGCCATGCTGATCTTCTCTGTATCGTTTCAATTTTAGTACACGTGCTGCCGAAGCGAGCACTGTTTTCTAGTTTTAAGAGTCAAAAAAGACAACAAAACAAAGCTATTTCCATTTGCTAAATGAAATGTGAATTCTCCTTAAGTTTTATAGTTCTTCCTTTTCAGACGGTGCGATGGTTTTAAAGGAAGTATTCTAAATGGAGGCAAACTATTTTGTCACAGTGGAAGAAAGCTGTACGTTGATGGTGAATATATCATAGGAAGCTTTTTCCAAATTACTCACATATACACATCTAATGTCCAACTATTAAGCATCCGTTTAACCAGAAGATAAATGTCCAGGATTCCAATGGACATCATCTTATCAACTAATAGACCTCTATGATTTTAAGAAAAGAACTGACCTGCAACCAGAGTACCCCAAATCCTAAAAAACAAAAACAAAAAACAAAACAAAACAAACCCCAAAACGGAGGAAATATAACACTAGTACTTGTTTTTTAGAGACAGAGTTTCAACAGAGACCAGCTAGCCTCTGCCTAAGTACATTCATTTCTGAACGGGATGACCACCAAGGAACTTACTGTGATCTCTAAGTGAGATATGTCCCTCATGATGCCACTTCCCAAACAGATCAACACCATGAAAAAACCGAACTCTCGAATAGAGCTGATTCTTCCAATCACTATATCACCACGTTCAATATCTCGGAAAAACAGCTCCCTCCGGTCCAAGCCTGGGATCTCCATGAACTGCTCTAATGGTGGCATGACCGCATAATGATCTGGGAAAAGAAATTCAAAATCACCACAATAATGTCGCCTTCCCTCTCCTTCGCTATACTGCCGAGAACCAAACTATCTTGAAAGCACTCCAGAGTAACTTACTGTCATTGTCGTCATGCACTTCAGAGGACGTAGGCGCATCTGATTTCCAAGACAGTGCAAAAAGCAGGTCTGCTTTTTTGGAGATGAATTTTTGTATTTCTATGTTGTCAACTCTCTTCTCTTTCCTTAAAGGGGAAGACGAAGGATTAAAATTGTTTTACAATCCAAGCTCGTGCTTTCATCACCCAACCCTCCCCAGAGTTTCATTCAGGCTGTATCTCTGGAGGGAGTTTTTATTTATTTTTATTCTTTTGGCTTTTCAATAAGTATCTGTTTAGTACAGATGTGTGGCATCTATATGCCACTGTGCAACTGGGGTCATAGGACAACTCTGGGGACTCCTCTCTTGCCACGTGAGTCCGGGGAATAGAGCTCAAGTCAGGAGGTCTGATGGCAAGTGACTTTACCCACTGAGCTCTAGAAGTTTGAAGCCCATTCTCCCACGGTCGCCACTGGGAAATGGGGGCGGGGAGGCTTTGAAAGCTTTGCCAGCGATTCAGAGGGAGCAAGCCGGCTTTTCTGCCAGGGGCCAGTGCTGGGCCACACACCCTGGACTCCTGCTCTGCACCGGCCCTGCGCACGGCCCGGTGCAGGTCACGGTCCCCGTACCTGCCAGCTCCCTGAGGAGGTGCCGCCCCGCGGGCGGGCTCGGCCGCCGTGCCTAGGAGGCTCCGGAAGTGCGGGTTGTCTTGCTGCTCGCTCCGCAGCAGCGACAGCAATGCCGGGCCGTGACAGCCCAGGGACTGTCGCAGCAAATCGCGGTCCATGGCCAGCCCGCCGGAATCCGGCTCCCGAGCCCGCGCTCCTGCAAACCGAAAGACTCGGCCGCGCCACGGTAACCTCCCGGAAGCGTTCTTTGCGGCGGGCTGCCACGGTCTCGCGAGACTCAGCGGGACTACGGAAAGCCGTAGGAAACGCGAAGCGTGTCTGGCGCAGAAGGCGGGGTAGGGTTTGAGCTGTGCCTAGTGGGAACGCTTGCCTTAAGCTTGTGCGACACGTCACGTCCCTCGGTCCGCACGGCTCGAGCTCGGGTCTGCGGTATAGTCAGTCACCCCGCGCCTCCGAGCGCAGTGGGCGCAACGAGTGGCTAAGGAGCCGCGGGGGGAGGTTCCCTCAGCGCGGTCAGCTGGGGGCCGGGCCAGGGCAGGGACAGGGTGGGCGGGACAAGGCGGGGCGAAGTAGGGAGCGGGGGCGGGGCAAGGGCGGAGTGGAGTACGGGGGCGGGGCAGGGCGGGGCAAGGGACGGGGGCGGGGACAGGGCGGGGCGGAGTAGGGTGTGGGGGCGGGGCCGGGGCGGGGGCGCAGACAGGGCGGAGCGGAGTACGGGAACAAGGCGGGGCGGAGTAGGGGCCGGGGGCGGGGAAAGGGCGGAGCTGAGTACGGGGGCGGGACCGGGGCGGGACAATAACGGGGACAAGGCGGAGCGGAGAGCGGGGGCGGGGACAGGGCGGGACAGGGCGCTGCGTGTTCCACAGAGGACTGTGTTCTGCTGCCCTCCCAGTGTCATAACTGGTCCAAATCGGCGCTCCCAGGAAAGGTGCCTGGTGGACCGAAGGGCCGAAGAAAGACCGGGACCTACCATGAGTAGCAGCCGGAGGTGTGTCCACCACGTACCTCACTGTCTAACTCAAGCCCGGTTATCGTTAAAGTTCCACGCGCAGGGCCGAGGCTTGCCTCCTCTACTTATGCTGGCCTCACACTGCAACAGCAGGCAGCAAAGACTAATTCGTTCTTCACTTAAGACCCGCACCCACCGTGGAGGGCCGGGCCTTTTATAGCTACAGGCGTTTTGAATTCATTTCTTCTGCAATAAATACCTTATTTTGAAAGGGACAGAACACTGAATATTTGACCGATTCACAAGGGGTAAAGATGGAGTGAGAGGATTAGCGCCAGGGTTTTCAGGACGGCAGTCAAGGGCTCTATCACTGAACCCGGCTTACAATTTTTTAAAACTTAAAAAAACCTCCAGGAAACTTTTAAGAAATATGACTAATTTAATGAACTATGGGGTAGGGGAGCGGGGGAGGGGACACAAGTGGTGAAGGAAATTGCTGAGTATCACAAACAGATTTTCAGTGTCGGATTCCTAGGAATACTTTTATTGTGATTTCAAATTTTCATTTCTTACACATATGCTTATCCTCTAACAAACACCCTAGAATACCGGTTCAAGACTAACCCATATCACACAGAGAGACCTTATCTCAAGACAAAACAAAAATAACTCTTTACTTACAAGCCATCAATTCACTTATTTTGGATAAAGTAATAAAAAGGATTTTTTCAAGAAAAAAATGAGGACAGTTGGAGAACTTCAGGTTTACTATAAAAGTATAATAATCAAGACAGTTTTTATAGGTTCAAGATAGGCAGTTCAACGCCTCTGACTAATGAGCCCAGAAATACAATTCTATAAACAACATCAACTGATATATGACAATGAAGATAAATCAGTTGGTAAAGATGATCTTTTCAATAAATTGTGCTTCAATAACAAAACATTCACGTACAATTTTAAAGACGGGATTCTACATATAGACTTACACTTTACAAATAAATTCAAATGGATCGTGGATCACAACATTGTGGAAGCCCAAGACAATAACACAGGAGAAAACACAGCTCATATTGCCTTTAGACACCGCACCAAAGGCATGATCCATGGAGAAACAGTGACAAGATGGACCTCACTGGAATGAATTTCTTTGGACTTGGACGGATGTCTCAGGCAGTTGAGAGCTCTTGTTGCTTTCGCAGAGAACACCAGATTCTGTTCTCTCACCGACATGGTGGCTCACAATCACCTGTAACACTTCCAGGGGAACATAATGTCCCTTCCTGACTTTCAGGGTCACCACCATTCACATTCAGATTCACATTCACATTCAGTGCAAGTCTATAAACACAGATATTACATATAGAAATCTAAAAAATTAAAATGTTCTAACTTACAAAAGATTCCATTCAAAGAATGAAAAGCTAATTCATAAACCTGCAGGAAATGCTAACAAAAGGCATATGCAAAGAATTCTTAAAATAATGATGAAAAAGCCAATAAAAATTTAAAAATGAGCGAGACATTAACAGTGTGTCTGCGACCAGGAAGATATACAGAAGACAAATGCACATATGGAAACATGTACTACATCATATGGTATCAGGGAAATGCAAATTAAAATCACAATGAGGTACCGCTATGAGCTTATTAGACCAGATTCCAGAACATTAGCAATACTAACATGATAATAAGAAGCAATAGAATTCTCCGCTTGTGGGTGTGAATCCTAAATGGTACAGCCACTTGAGGAAAGTTCTAGTGCTTTTGTACAAATCAAAACATTATTGCCACAAAACCCAGTGATTACATTGAGCTTATTGGTAGCTGAAAACTTACACAGTTTTAATCATATTTATCAAAAATTAGAAACTAAGATGTCTTTCGACGGGTGAGCAGATAAACTATGGTATCATTAGGCAATAGGATACTTATTATTCAGCATTAAGGAGAAATTCGTCACCAAGCCATGAGAAGAAATTGAGTAAAGTTAAATACATATTAATGAGTAAAAGAAGCAAATTAGGAAAGGTTATTTACTAAATTATCCCAACTAATGATAACCTCTGAAAGGAAAAACCATGGAGACAGCAAAGAATTCTTTGGTTATCAGGACTTTGGGGAAGGGGGCGGCGGGGGGGGGGGGGAGAATAGACAGCCCATGGAGCATTTGTTTAGGGCAGTGAAACTGCTCTGTTGGCTAGTGTGATGGTGTTGTGCGATCCACTGGGGGCTTGAAAACGAAACTAGACAAAGGAGAAAGGAGTCTTTTCCTTGCTTCAGTGTTTGAACTGGGGCATCTAATTTCATCTTCTCCTCCCTTCAGAGGAATAGATGTCTGAGTAGAATCTGAATCGTTTATTTGCCTACAAATTTCAAGATGTCATTATTTTGTACCGCTGTGTAGCACTCCATTGTGTAAATGTGCTACATTTTCTTTATCCATTCTTTGGTGGAGGGACATCTAGGTTGTTTCTAGGTTCTGGCTATTACAAGTAATGCTGCTATGAACATAGTTGAGCTCATGTCCTTGTGGTATGATTGAGCATCCTTTGGGTATATACCCAACAGTGGTATTGCTGGGTCTTGAGGTAGATTGCAGACAAATAGATGAATCTAGCAAAAACCATATTGAGTGAGGTAACACAGATCCAGAAAGACAAATACAATATGTACTCACTCATAAATGACTTTTAGACATAAAGAAAAGAAAAACCAGCCTATAGGCCACAACCCCGGAGAAACTAGATAGCAAAGAGGACCTTAAAAGAGACATACATGTATCTAATCTACATGGGAAGTAGAAAAAGACAAGATCTCCTGAGTAAATTGGGAGCATGGGGGTCAAAGGAGAAGGTAGAGGGGAAGAGAGGAGGAAGGGAGGGGGTTGTAGAAAAAATATATAGCTCAATAAAAACCATAAAAAAGAAAAAAAGAATTTGAATCATTGACTGCTCAATTTCAGTCCTGTGGACACAGACTAACTTCACTGGGTCTAAAGCTTATATATGCTATATTGCAGATTTCTCAGTTCCTTTAATCTGCCATAGTTGTGTATCACGTGAGGCAGTTCTTCATTTTATATAGTATGTATGTATGTATGTATGTATGTATGTATCTATCTATCTATCTATCTATCTATCTATCTATCATCTTCAATCTCCAAACACTTGTTTCTGTTATTAGCAAGTAGTTCCAACTGTAAGCCACATGATAAAGATTGGTACGTCTTCATTTATGCCAATAGTCCCTGTTTGTAATGGATTCTAACCTCCTTTTCCTATGTCAGAACAACACTTCTCTTCTAGAAAGGACATTTAGTCAGTTTAATCCACTTGAGGGTGCTACAAGATCACTATAGTATCCAACTGCGTGTCCATGTTCAAGAAAAACACACACAGCAACTAAACATGGACTCGGGGATGGAGACCTATGACTTTAAAACTGCCTCCATCTTGTAGGGACTGGTGAAGGTTTTGAGGATACTACTTTAATGCAAATAAATCAATAATCTATTGTACATCATTACTTGTCTTTGTATATTTTGAAGATTTACTTGTTGATTTTTCCTTCCTAGAGTAATATTCACTGGTTTTTGTTTTCATCTAGGCTGAGTAATTATGAACAGATCCAGAATATGCATAACTCCAAGGCAAGGGAGCAGAATATTGGCATATTTATATTATTATGACTTATAGGTGATGTGTATTTCACTTCTGGGGAGGCATAGTGTAGGCACTCCAGAGATGCACAGTACTTGGCCATATGATGTGACTGTTGGTAACCCTTTGTAACACAATCCTTGTATGATATATGTGATAATCTTGGGAGTGTGTACAGTGCTTGACCGTATGACGTGACCATCCATTGCCCTTTGTAACACAGTCCTTGTATGACATATGTGATACTCTTGGGGGTGTACAGTTCTCGACCATATGGAGTGACCACCTGAAGTCCTTCTTCAGTATTTTTTCCATGTTTTTATTTGTTCACACAGGAGACTAGAAAATAAAAGTACAACTGAATAACCCCATCATAACTGTTGGGAAAAATTAAAAGATTTGCTCATTACTGATATGGGTTAGGTTAGTATGCTGTTTTAAAATATTTATTTGTTACTGTGCATAAACCCACACAAAAATACACACATATTAGATTCTTAAGTTCATGTTTTGTTTTAGAATACTATACCAAAGAACATGTGATGTGTTTAACTAGGAGAAATGGAAAGTAAATAATAAATAGAATTTTTGTCAAGACATTCTAGATTGCTTTGGTGATCATCTTAAAGTCAAATTACACATTGTTTTAAAATCAGAATAATTGAATATTTTTTAGTTATTAAATAATAATTTTTGTATCTTATTGTTGACAGCATCAAAAGAAAATGCCAGTAATTAGAAATACATTAACTGTTTAAAATTTCACCTTTGTGTGGAGGCCCAAAAATGTGAACCTATTTCCACATTGACCAAAGGTCAGAGAGTTAGAACTCTAGTTCCTTCAAGGTGTGTCTTCCTCAAAACAAAGGTCCCACCTAGTTGTTGAGCAATTCTGCTCTCTCAAGG